AAAGAGATTTTGGATTTCCATTCATTCATTGCTGCACTTCTCTCCGGCCCAGCACCCCCACCACCCCGTTCACTCCTCTCTTTGAAAAGTAAAAGAAACACTCCCTCCCTGGTACACAATCACGATTTCTTTTTCTTATGAGTCTCCTGGTATACTAGAAATGCCTTCAAATAAATATTCACTAAGTCTCTGCAGCGCAGGAATCTTTGGTGGTCTAGCGGTTAAGGAGTTGTGTTGTCAACTCAAAGGCACACAGCTCGAATCCACCAGCTGCACCGAGGGATAAAGATGGACATTCTCCTCCTGTGCAATTTACAGCCTCTAAAAAACCACTGGAGGGTCAGCCATGAGTCAATTCTGACAGAACAGACAGCACTTAACAACGACTGTAATGCAGAAGCCACTGTGCAAGGTGCTTCAGAATTTACATAGATGTCAAATCCTTAACTTTAACATCTCCACTCCTAAGGGACTATCTTATTAGGGAGCATAAAAGAAGCAGACAGATCTTTACATCGAGGTATATTAAGATGATGCACTTAGTAGAACATTTTCACAAAGAGTTGTGGAGTTTCTGATGAGGTAAACAGGCCAAGGCAAGCCCTTTTGAAGGTGGTATTTGACCTTTGAAGGATGGCTTTATCTTGAAGGTTCACAGGTTGAGAAGTAGAATGCAAAGTGTAGTAAGAAATTCTGACTATGCTGTTTACGTAAACAGAAAGTTGGGGGTGGGGGGAAGGAAACCAGAGGAAGGTTGGGAAACAAGAGGAAGTCTAGTTTATCTGGACTGTCTAGGGTTGTGAGAGTGTCATGGGACATGACAAGGTTCCCCTGCCATGTCTGCCTTTGCACATCCATTTAGATGACACTGGGAAGACATTACACATTTCTGAATGAGGACATGCCCAGTTGCAATTGTATTAATTTAAACACAGTTCCAAAAGGGAAGATTTTACAAGTGAGTTGTTATTGTTGTTGTAGCTGTATGCAAAAAGCATCTAAACCAGGCCAGGAATCTTAAGAACGGAATTAATGGCAGTCAGATATAAAAAGAAATATCAAGAGGTGAACAGTCCTTCAAGGAGAGGGTAGTATTATTTTAGCATCTAGTAAAATGTAGACACAGAGTAAACAAGTTGATAAATGACAAAAATAAATGTTTTTGATTTTATACTTGTGGTGTGTCTTCACAAAAAGGAAACATGCTTTGGCTTTTTTACTCATCTGAAGAGAATATTATGCAAATAACACATATTCTTACAAAACTTATTACTTCCTTTTTTAATCCACAGTGTTTTATTTATTAAGCTATCCTTTACATACCATAAAATTCACAAATCTCAAATAGATGGCTCAATAATAGTAATTTTGGGTTCGTGTTTTTTTCCTTTTAAGATCTCTGGCAATGCTTTCCTAAATAAGATAAAATATATTTATTATATAATTCTAGAATGTTCCCCAGAACTGATGATCCAGGACTTTAAAACAACTCCTGTGATTTGTATCAGTAATGATTGCCAAGGCACTTTTTATCCTCCATTGGAGAGGGACGTTCTGGTTTCAAGTTGATTTTTGAAAGAATGATTTTGAAAACAAATGCGTGATATTATGTGAGCAAATGAAGTGCCCTGGAAGCACCACAATTAAGCACTTAGCTGCTATCTGGAAGGTCAGTGATTCGAACCCATACAGTGGCTCTGCAGGAAAATGATCTGGCCGCCAGCTCTTATACAGATTACAGCCAAGGACATGCTGCGGGGCAGTTTTACTCTGTCACCTGTAGCATTGTCTCGGCAGCACACAACAGCAACAGCAATGTGAGCACAAATGAGATTGTTGTGTATTGTTCTTTAATTATCTGTCACCTGCTTGACTTTCTCTTTTCTTTTCTAAAGACAGAAGAAATATTGTCAGTCCAATCACCTTGGTGTATCAGAAAGAAGGAGTAATTGCTTCTGGAATAGTAATGTATTTTTTTCCCCCTTCAAACTTAATTGCTCTTAAGAAAAGTTATAATTTCCATTTGGTGCCATGAACCATATTTTGGTATGTTTAAGTCTGAGAGAATATTGTGTAATATTGTTTCCTTTTGATGTTACTTTAAAAAGCCTCTCATTATGAGGAATTTCAAATGATCCTAAGAAGCACAATGTTGAATGGGGAGGGGGGATTTTAAAACACAAATTTTCCAATATGCATACACAAAATCCAATGTAATATATCATATCAATAACATTAAATATGAATACAGTCATCTCAGAAAAAAGTATAAAGGACAACATAATATCTACCATATACCTATCTCATGTCAAATAAATAAACCTTTATTAAAAAATTCACCCCCTCCAAACACCTAATATATTTCACCCAATTCTATAGCCATTTGTTCCCATAATGTATTAGGTGTTTGAATGAATGAATCCAGGCATGAATCTGGATTCTCTTGTCTAAGCTTATGCTTACACTCGTGTGCATGCCTCCTTGGGTTGTATGTGCAGTATTGTCACTGCTCATTTTTATGTTGGTAGCAATAATCTCCATTCTTTTGTGCTTCCTTTGTGCCAAGCACAACACTAAGCTTTCTGTGTGTGATCTTACTGTTCCACACAACAGTCCAGTCAAGTAGGGACTGTTGATGTCTCCCTTATTCAGACAAAGGGACTGAGCCCCAACAGTATTGATCAGCAAGTAAATGGAGGAGCTGGGGCTTGTGTAAAAACCCCAAGGCCTGTGATCTAAGCTATTACACTGAAAAGCTTCCAGGAATATGAAGAGGGTCAGACCATAGCAATGTGTCCAGATTATTATGTGGCTTTGAGCAGACAGACCTGCGTCAAAATTGCAGGTCTTCTTTTGGCTACTTGGCGTCCTCTGTTGGCTTTGTCTGTTCCATTGCCACAGGTCACATCTCAGGACCCTGAGGGCAGCCAGGCAAGGGCACAGGTGAGAGGTCCATATCCACCAAGAAGAAGCAATCTGGAGTTCATCTACTTACATCCAGTACTCAGTCTTCTCACACCTGTAACTCACTGCCTCCCCCTTCCCTTCCACACTGAGCTGTGCTTGTCACCTCTTGTGACGCTGGCCTCTTCACGGTCCTCCTTGCTGATTGGTGTAGCCAATTTAAAGGAACAATTAATTAAGGTGTCTGCTCTTGTGAGGCGTGAGGAAAGCCCATGGGGTTGGTGAAAGAATCTTGCATGTTTTTGCGCAGGGTGTAGGCATCCAACCCAACCTTCTCATTCAGCCCACTCACCATCACAGGGAGGTCTGATCTAGAAAGGATGGAAGCGCTTCCTCACGTCCCCTCCACTACTGTAAAACGAATTCAAATTCTTCTATTTCACAACTAAGCATTCAATTGTTGTTGTTTGCTGACGAGTCGGAACCAGCCCATAGCTGATGCTCCGGTGGGGTTTTGGAGGCAGAAATCACAGAGGAGGAGCTTGCCTGTCCTGTCAGGGAGCAGCTGGTGGATTCGAACTGCATGCCTTTGAGATTGCAGCATATTTATCTATCAGATACCTGCCACGTTCCTAGCACAGTACATGAGGAATTAGAAAGGAGGATATAAAGGAACTTGAAGTCATGCTAAATTACTAAATTGGGTAACTGAGTGGTAGAAGAAATATATAATGGTCAAAGAATCACACATTAGGGCTAGTCAGTGCCCTTTAAAGTGAAGAGATCGCCACATAAAATCTATGGGAGAAATTCTGCTTCCTTGATAATGAGGAATGTGGCACAGAAAACAGATACTAGGGAAATTCAAGAAAATGGAAAATTTTAAGTAGCTGGAAACTATATACTGAAAGATTAAAATTTGACCAGATAACATGGTTAAGATTTGTCCGAGTGAAGGTGAGGGCGCTCTGGTGAGGTAGCCTGTAGGCAGTTGCACGGCTTACTTGTAGGTGACATCTCTCTGGCGGTTCAGGTGTACCAGCAGCCCCTCGGGAGAGAGATGGGTTCTCTCCTCCCATATGATTTGTAGCCTCTGAAAACTCTACTGGAGGCTCAGCTATGAGTTGGGTCCAACTCAGTGTGAGTGAGTGAGAAATAAGGGTGAGAAACAACAGGCTCTCAGCTCAGACAGTCTCAACACAGAAGAATGTTTTAAAAAGAAACAGTGGATGGTAATAAGAGGCCTTTGCTTTTCTAATGAGGAAAACATATGCCATGCGCTCATTGGGCCTAATTTTCTGTTTTTCTATCATTGCTTTTGATCTGGAGGATGGCTTCGTGTACTCTTTTATTATTAAAGATTCCAGTTACAAAGTGCAGGATTTTGTTGAGGTGGACGAGCCTGTGGAGCATCTGATATTTTCTCCCAATTATAAGACGTTGCTGATTCAAACGCAGAAGGTATGTTAGATGGTGACTTCTTTATATACACTTTTCAGATAAAATTATTATTGTTGTGTGACATGAAGGGGAAAGTTGGCTGCATGGTGATACTCCACTAGTTAGGAATCATTACACTGCACATGGGGAAGGAAAAGCAACAAACACAACAAACCCCATCGTAAAAGAGACTTTCGTTTGCTGGTTGACCCAAAAGTTGGTTTGGGATATTTAATTCAAAGGGCAAAGAGTGGATCTGAGCTCATGTGATGCCACTGGGCCTCATTTCCCTTCCCTTTCTTGGCTTTTTGTCTACTTGTCTGGCTCCATTGTCAGGCACACTTTCCCTGTGCTGCCAAGAGATCTCCTGTAGCTCTCCAGCTTCTATTCCTACCTTCTTGGTGACCCCAAAGGGAAGATGACAGATGGAACAAATGTTTAGGAAGTTAGACTCATCAGATTGACTTGAGTCACTTGTCTACCCGAACTCAGTTAGACCAGGACAGTCCCAGGCTCTGCTTTGTTAGTCCGAGTCCCATGCCTACCTTTGGGTCCAGGAGAAAGTAGGCTCACCCAGACTTGGATTAATATTGGGGCCATGCCTGGTTCTCCTAGGAATATATGGCATCTGTAAGATAAGAAGGGAAGGAAAGAAATGCAGAATAAAAATGAACATCCACCCCAGTGAGTAGACTCCTAGTAAATGGAATGACCTGCACAGGTTAGGATGAGTAGCAGTTTATATTGTTAGGCAAAAATGTCACATTGGATTACAAAGTAAGTGAAGTGATTACTGCCTAAAAGAAACTTAAACTGAAATATGGAGACTCCAGGTCATTCATACAATTGAAAAATGCTGTGTGTTAGTAAGTAAAGGACAAACTTAAAATATTTGTGGTAGATAGGAAACTTGATTCATCCTGGAGAGAGTTAAACTGGGCTGCTCCTTGGAGGCAAGGATTCTGAGGCTTCGTTTGACATACTTTGGTCATGTTGTAAGGAGAGACCGGTCCTTGGAGAAGGACATCATGCTTGGGAGGGTGGAGGGCAGACGCAGGAGGGGAAGGCCCTCTGGGAGGTGGATTGATTTGGTGACTGGGGCAATTGGGATGAGTGTGTCAGAGACGATGAGATTGGCACAGGACGGAGCAGAGTTTAGAGCTGTTGTACATAGGGTCGCTATGAGTCGCAAGCGACTCGATGGCACATAACAACAACAACAGATAGGAAACTACAAAAACTAACATAATGAAGTTAAAAGGGCCTAAATCGAACTTCTAAAAACACACTAAGTAAAAAAAAAATTCACATTTTGTTCAGCAAAAACACTCAATGGTAACTGAGCCCAGCTAAAGAAATATTTAGAGAATTGGAAGACGGATTAAAAGAAGCCATGCAGAATACAGCCCAGAGAGGGAAAAGATTAGAATACAGAGAAGGAAGGGAAAGAGACAGGAAAGATACAGTGAAAAAGTCAAATATATGCTTGATTGAAGTCGCAGAGAGAAGGGAGAGTGGGGGAAAGGCAATTATTTCCCAGAACTTATTAAAACATGAATAGATTCAAAATGCCTAGTGTGCTCTGGTTGTCTAGTGACTAGGGAGCTGCACTCCCAATCCAAAGACAGTTGGTTCAAATCTACCAGCTGCCCCATGGGAAATGGAGCCATCTCCTACCATGGGATTTAAAGCCTCTGAAAACCCACTGAAGGATCAGCTAAAAATGATTCTGATTCTATGGTGATGACTTTAAATTTGATTTGAGAGTGTGTATGTGAATACCAAAACACCAAGTAGGATGCATGAAAAGATACACACGCTTGTACTTAACAAAGTAAAATTATTACAAACCAAAGACAAAATGTTTTAAAAGCAATCATCAGGGGTGAGGATGGTTGGAGACGGGAAGTTAATCATAGGGTTGCACAATTCAGTGGGTGAGGAGGTGAAGGAAATGGAAAGGATCCTGTGTGAAAAAACAATGTATTTGAACTTTGTAAATAAATCAGTATAAAATTTAAAAAAGAAAATAAAAGCATATTTAAAAGCTAATAAAGATAGATAATAAAAATAATAAAAAGTTAATTGAACGGGGGGAAAAGCAATCATCAAAGACAGATTACTTCAAAGGAATTCCAATTAGATTAAGCAGCTGATTTCTATTTGAGAATAATGCATATCTTTAAGTCTCATTTAATCATTGGATTCTCCCTCCCTCATTTTTGTTTTTTGCAATTTGTTTGTTGAAGACACTGGAAATTTGCCCTTACTCTGGATTTTGTAGACTCTATTTCCATGTTCCTTTGTCAACATGTTAGGGAGGTCCAGTGGCATCGTCCATTGAGAGTTGCACTGCTTGCCCAAAGGTCTAACCTCTCCGGCTGTTACATCCACCAGTGCTCTGCAGAAGACTGACAGTCAATCTCCACCTCCCGTGCATCCACCTCCCAGGCAATTTACAGACTCTGAAACCTCCCTAGAGGGTCAGCTATGAAGCAGATCCTACTTGCAAAGACCTACTTTGTTAAAGGGTTAACATGTTCCTTTGTCTCCCCTTTCCCCTGCAGGTTTGATTACAGTAGATTTAAAAGTGTGTGTGTGTGTGTGTGTGTGTGTGTGTGTGTGGTTTAGGTTAAAATGTGCAAAGCAAAATAATTTCCCATTTAGCAATCTCTGGACATACTGTTCTGTGGCACTGGTTGTAGTCCCACAGTGTGTGAGCATTCTCCCCACTTCTGTTTGCACGTTCTCTCTCTCCTTCTTGCCTTCTTCACTTTGGAAAGCAGGCATCTAACTGCTTAGTTATTATATTGTTGTTGTTGAGTATCATAGAGTTGGAACCAACCCCTAGCTGACCCTCTAGCAGATTTTCAGAGACAGTTAATCACACAGGAGGAGATTGCCCATCCTTCTCCCACAGAGCAGCTGGTGGTCTCAAACCATGTGCCTTTGGGATTGCAGCGCAGCTTCTTGCCACTAAGCCACCAGAGCTCTATTATTATATTATGCTTATGATATTAGCTACATGGTAGAGAATCAACTACAAGATCAAGGTGGTTGTTTTCTCCCCCCCCCTTTTTTTTTTGTTTTTGGTTGGTAATTATAAATGTAACAAGGAACCATAGCAGTGTAGTCATTAGTGTGTTGTACTGCTAACCAAAAAGCTGAATGTCTGGAGGTTCGAATCCAGCAGCAGCTCCATGAGAAGAGGAGAGCCATATCCACTTGTTGATCTTTTAAACATGTTGGAGGATCACTGTGAGTCAGAAGCAACTTGGTGACAGTGAGCTTGAATTTCTGTTTTATATGCTAGTAAACTGTCATTTCATCATTCTTCCTGTATGTTGTTGTTGGGTGCTGTCGAGTTGTCTATGACCTATAGAAATCCTATAGACAATAAATCTGAACCCTGTTCTATCCTGTGCAATCCTTACACTTCCAGACACAATAAAGTCCCAATGCAACAGCCTCTGTGCCAATCCACCTGGTTGAAAGTCTTTCACTGACCCTCTTTCATGACCCTTCTGCCTTTCTAAACATGATGTCCCTCTCCAAAGAATAGCCCCTTCCTAGCCACATGCCTGAAGTATATGAGGCAAAACCTATTCATCTTTGCCTCCCAGGAGCCCTGTGGCTGCATTTTCTCCAAGACATATTTGTTTGTTCTTTTGGCAGTCCATGAGATGTTCAGTACTCATCTCCAAACCACAGCTCAAAAGCATGAATTCTTCTTCTGTCTTCCTATTAGTCATGTTTATAATATTGCTCTGTTGTTTCCATAGAGACACGTTTGTGAGAGATGAATTTGAGAGCTGACATAAACAAGACATAATGTGACAGTTTTGGCCACACACCCCCCTCCTTATTACAAAGACCTATTTAAAAGTTTTAAATAATGCCTACCATTAATTTTTTCAAATTAGGAAAAGTGCTATGTTTTATTTCATAATAAAAGAAAAAAACCAAATGTCTGGAATTTTAGAAGAAAGTTCTATTTCTTTCTAATGTCCAATGATAAAGAAATAAATGGTATAAACCAGCTGGTAGCTAAACTTTGAGAGTCTCAATTTTAAGCTTCTGAAAGGCAGGGACATTACTTTGTTAATAGTTGATCTCTAATTTCCAATTTCTCCCCCCCCCCAAATCACTCTCAGTAGGAATTTAAGAAATGTGGGTTTTTAAATTGCATGTGTAACAACTACATTCTACTTTTTTCCTTCTTCTCCTCCTCTGCCTTTCACTCTATTTTATAGGGCTCTGTTCATACATACACTTTCGGAGAGAAGCCAGCCTTTGTTAAAACCTTAGATGCTTACAATGGGAACATTCAGGCTGTTGATTTTATTACACCTGGAGACAGTTATTTCATGGTAAGGAATGTTTTCTTGTTCAGATAATTTAAACACGAAAAGTGTTAAGATTGAAATCTCTATATCTAACTGGTTAGTTTTGGAATGTCTAAAAGTAATGCATATGGGAGGAACAGAGGCCATTGTCTTCCAACCTTGATTCTCTTTCCCAGTTGGAATATCCTCTAGGATATCTTTATAATACTAAATTTTCTGAAAGTAGCCACACAATTGATACTGTAGGAGCCATGCTGTTTGTTGTTGTCATCTTTAAATAGTATTTTATGTGAAAGTTTACACAGTCAGTTAATTATCTTTATAATAATTTCTATATTTATAAATTGTACAGTAACACTGGTTACTTTTTCCACAGTTAACATTCTCATTATTTCCACTCAAGTTGCTCCATTTCTTATAATCTACTTTCTCTATCCATTTATCCTCTGATTTTTTCTTTAATCATTGTCTATTTGAGCTTATTTAGATCATTTTTAAGGATTTAAATTATATTGTTTATTATATTAGACTACATGGTTTTTTTATTGTTTTTAAAGAAATTTTTTACTTTATACTAGTTTACTTAAGAAGTTTGTATACATTGTTTTTCACACCAGATCTTTTCCATTTCCTTTACCTACCCCTCTCTTCAAACTATTCTTAAGATGATTTTTAAATTCTATTGGGATAGACTCAACATCATATTGTGATTCTCATGACCTAGACAATCTGTTATTTAGCTAACAGATTACCTCAGAGGATCATTTTGGTACAAGGAGGCCCACATGCCACACATTCTCATAACAACCTAACTACAATCATCCCTTCCACAGTTTTAAATCCTTCTGCTGAGTTCAATAATGCATTAGAAAGGCCACACAGAACTCACTGACGATATTCACAATTATGGGTTTTAAGGGAAGTTACTGTTGTTGGGTGCCACTGGTTAACTATGATTTATGGTAACCCCATAGAACATCAGATCTGAACCTTGTCCTATCTTGCACCATCATCATGATCTTCATCATGCTCCAACCTATCTTGTTAAGAGTCTAATGCTCTTTTTCTGGCTATCTTTCCTTTCCCAGCATGATATCTTTCCCCAAGGTCTGACCCCTCCTGACAATATGCCCAAAGTATGTAAGATGGAGTTTGATCTTTGTCTCTAAGGATCACTCTGGTTGTACTTCTCCTATGACAGATTTGTGTATTCTTTTGACAGTATTTTGGAGGTTCAGTGCTCTTCTCCACTATAACAATTCAAAGACACTGATTCTTTTTGATCTCTTTTTATTGTCCAACTTTGAGACACATAGGAAGTAATTGAAAAGCCCATGGCTTTGACCAAGTACACCTTAGTCTTTAAGCTGACATCATTGTTCTTTACCACTTTGGAGAGGTCCTTGCCAACAGATTTGCTCAATGTTAACATGTCTTTTGATTTCTTGATTGTTGTTACCATGGGTGTTGATTGTGAGACCAAGATGAAATAGTTCACAACTTCAGTCTTTTCTCCATCTATCATGATGTTGTCTGTAGGTCTAGTGGTAAGGAATTTTGTTTTCTGGATGTTGAGATGTAATTTATAATGAAGGTTATCATCTTTGGTCTTCTGCAGCAGTGTTTCAAGTCTTCTTCACTTTCAGCAAGCAAGGTTGTGTCATCTGCATAATGTAGTTTGTTGATGAGTTCTTCAATCCTGATACCACATTATTCTTCATATAGTCCAACTTCTCAAATTATTTGCTCAGCATACAGATTTAAGAGGTATAAAGAAAGGATGGAAATATCTTTCCTGATTTTAAACCATGCCATTTTCCCTTGTTTTGTTTGAATAACAATTTCTTGGTCTATGTATAGGTTTCATATGAGCACATATAAGTGTTTGGATTTCAGTTATTCTCAAAGTTATCCATAATTTGTTATGATCCAGAAGGGAAGAAATAAGTTACTCTTCAAGTGGTAAACACTCTGGATGTATCTTCAATTAAGACAGCCTCTTCTCAGGTGGATTCACAGACAAGTGTCTCTCGGACTTTGTGCCCTTGGCATATGTCTTACTTGGACAAGTATTCTCAAAACTGACTCCAGCTGGGAATGCATGTGTTGGGAGACTCTGAATTTTTTGTTGCTCTGCACATGTCTGCAAATGACCACAAAAGCACCATGAATATTAACTTGACAGTTACAAATAAATTGTAGCAAGTAGACAAAGTCACAAAATTGGACCCACAAATAAATGAAAATTGATTCTAGTTTTTATCTCAGGCATGTTACCCAGAAAATTCATTTCACTTTTCTAATCTCAGTAGGGATTGTGTTGCAATCCCGAAGGCAAACAGTTCAAATCCACTAGCTTCTTCTCAGAGAAAGATGGTTCTGACGTGCCATTAGTGAGTTTGAGTTGAATCTATAATTAGTTATATTGCCCATTGTAAAAGGAGCAGATGGGTGTGAGGCAGTGGACTGACTTCTGCCTACTTCACAAAGGAGAACTGTCCCCATCAATAATATCCATAGCAGCAAAAAGCTATCTGCTTGGTCAGACATGGCACCCCCATACTCCTGCACAGATTTCCACCAACATTCAGGTTCGATACTCATTGTTAACTCAGAGATTTTACTCACAGTTATGGTACCAAGAATGGACTTTATTAGAGAAATAGGTCTGGGAGTCGGAGAGGCAGATAATCTCACGCAATTTTTTAATTAGTAAAAGTCCTAGTTCAGTTCAATAGCATAAATCCAAATAATCCAGCAAGACCTCAGAAGTAGTAAGTCAGCTTATCTTTCAATCATGTAGCAAGCAAAACCTTTAACTGTGGCCAAGACAAATGTAAGAAGCTTCAGGTTACACCATGCCACAGTCTTTGCACAATTTCTCTACCACTATTATCACGGGGTCTCTCTCCATCTCACTTTCACCATGTCTCACTCTAGTCTCCCTCAAGTTTTGGTACTGAGTGTGGAAAGCACCTTCTCTTATATTAATCCCACAGCAATTGATAACTTTCAAGACCATGTGTCTGTAGTTAAGGTACAGAGGAGGCTAGCATAATGGCTAGTAAAGCTAACTTTTAAGATAACACTGCACCCATTCATTAATGTTATTTAAGATAATTCATATTTATTAAAAAGAAATAGATAATGACATATTAGTAATCTGTTTTGTATAAAACAAGAGAGAAACAAACTCATTGTCTTTGAGCTAGAACCATCTCATAGCTGACCCGCCATTGAGTTTCATTTCCTGTACAATGCATTAGAGGAGATTGTCCAACTTTGTCCAGCTGAGCTGCTGATGGATTTGGATTTCCAGAGTGGTGTGGCCTTTGGGTTAACAGTACTTCTAACTTTGGACCAGACTACCCAGAACTCCTTGTTTTATATCGGTTGTTCTTTTTGTTGAGCACCACTGAGTCAGAACAGACCCATAGCTGACCCTCCAGCAGGTTTTCAAAGACAGTAAATTGCATGGGAGGTGATTGCCCCTCTTTCTCCCACGGAGCAGCTGGTGGATTCTAACCTTGTGCCTTTGGGATTGTGGCATGACTTCTTACCACTAGGCCACATTCAGAACTGACTCATATTTGATGCTGATACTTGGGATGTCAGAACCCTTGAAAATTGGCTTTTTCTAGCCATTGTGTTGGTCTCCGGCCATCTTTAATGTAGGCATATGGTCTTGCAAATCATCAACAGATGTAGGACCAATATAAGAGAAGCATTTGTCTACTCTGCAAGAGGCAGTAATGGTGGCAGAGAGATTATAAAGAGACTGTGGCCTACTGCTGTGAAGAGACTGGCAAAGTGTAACCAGAGAAACCCCAGAAATAAAGGCCACAATTAAAGGTTTGGCTTGCTTACTGATTAAAACAAAGTTGACTTATAACTTCTCTGAGATAAAATTTGCTGGATGATTAAGGAAAACAGTGGCTTCTTGCATGTATGCTACTGAACTGAACCTGAACTTTCACTAATTGAGAAATTGTGCCTTTTTAATCTGGCTTGGGACTGCTGGACTAAACCTGGACTAGTATTGTGAGATATTCTTTGCCTCTTCCACTCTCCAATCTATGCCCCTAATAAACCCCACAACTGTGAGTAAAGCCTGTGTGTCTTGCAACAAACACTAGACCCAGTGATTGGTAAAAATAGGTGCTGGAGCATGTGGGCTGTCCTGTCTGACTATGTAGCTATCTGTATGGCAGTATGGACATTACTGATGAGGACAGTTCTCCTTTATGAAGCAGGTAGAAGTCAGACTCAGCCACCCTCACATGTTAACTGCTCCTTTTGCAACCCTCCAGCAGGTTTGCAGAGACAGTAAGTTGCAAGGAAAGAGATTTCCTGTCTTTCTTCCACAGAACAGCGGCTGGGTTCAAACTGCATACTTTTGATTTGGCTTCACAATTACTTACCACTAAATCACCAGAGCTCCCTTGTTTTATGTATTATATTAAAGTTTTGCTGCCCGGGAGGCCTCGTCCATAAGGAGGTGTGCTTCTAACCCAAAGATAGAAACTCTCTGTTGATTCAAATACACCAGCTGCTTTGCAGGATAAAAATGGACAATCTCTCATGCAATTTACAGCTGATAAAAGCCTGCTGGAGGGTCAGCTATGAGATGGTTCCTATTTAATAGTAATATGGTGGGGTGGGTATTTTTTCAGAATAAAATCATATACTAAATCATCAGAGAAACTTACATTCTGTAGAGTTATTTAGCATATGCCTCCATAAAGTCATGTTTTTACATGAGAATTTTTATATCATTATTCTTGCAGACACTCACTGATTTAGGGGAAGTTGGTATTTGGTGGTTGGAAGATGGTTCTCCTGTCAGCAAGATTTCTCTTAGTATCCAGGTAAATGTGTCTGATTAATTGTTTTGTCTCTTCTTTAATGTTGTGTTCCAGTCCAATCTACATTTTCATATTTACATGACAGTAGTATGTAGAAATGCTTGTTACAAGAATTTATTACATTTTTGTCTTCTAGACATGGCATAATTCTCCTGTATAAGGTATACTTCATAACTTAGAGGGCGGAACATAACATGCTATATTTGTATATAGTAAAAGGCAAATTTTTCTGTGGCAGCAGTTAGTTCTAAAATCCTAGCGGGTTTTGTCTCTAATACTTTCAATGCATTCTTGATTAGCATGGGTCTTCTGTTCCAAACAGTCTCCCAGGGAGCCAGATGGATGGATGCTCCTCTGAAACTGCCCTATCTAGAACTCTAGCTCCTTACGGCCAAGGTATAGGAAGAGAGTACAGGCAGATCTTGGGTCAGCAACTTGGCCCATCAGCTCAGAAGGGATACATCTCACGGGTCATAACTAACCAGAGGCACAGATGATGAAACTTCATCTCACATACTTTGGACATGTTGTCAGGAGAGACCAGTCCTTGGCAAAAAGCATCAGGCCAGGAAAGGTGAAGGGTCAGGGAAGGAGAGGAAAACCCTCAGAAGATGTATTGACACAGTGACTGTAAACAGTGGGCATATCAGAGATGGTGAGAATGGCACAGGATAGGGCAAGGTCTGCTCTGTTGTTCATAGGGTTTTTATGAGTTGTAATCCACTCAATGGTGCCTAACAACAAGAACAACAAAATAAAGTGTAGAAATAATATGTGGCTCAATCTTAAAGTCTATCTGATCACATCTCCCTTTATAGATGAGAGATATGTATACACACCCAGAGGTGTTTAACAACTCACTTGAGCCACTGAACAATCAGGACTTACCGTGCATGATTCTCTTGGTCAAGGAAGAATCTCACTATTTTTACCATTCCAATATCAGGATGCACACATTCCTGTGATTTCGTTTGTAACTGATTAGCTCAGGAATGATGAGGTTATAATTTTGAAAACCAAACAGAGCTTGCCAGTTTTCTAATTCTTCAAGCTTTTAAAAGATAAACTGTGTTTTGTGGGTAGGAGGATAAGCAGGCTCCATTTTCAGACACAGACTGTGCAATGTGTTTGGGGTTTCTTGTCGACAGCCGACAGTTCTGGTTTGCTCCCCTTCCTCACTCTCTGCTGCCGTGGGGTCCACGGATGGCTCCGTCTACTTCCTGGATGTCTCCCACGTCAGCCACCCTCGGGAAGTTCACAAGACCTTTCTTTCCGAAGCTTCTGTGACAGAGGTGGTGTAAGTATTGCTAACCCCTCACACCACTAACAGGTGCATGATTCATCTGTTGAGGATGCCAAGGAGAAGGCGGTTTCTTTTCATTTCAATAAAGTATGAAAGAGGAAAAAGTTGCTCCCCTCTGCCTCTTACTGTCTAACCCTAAATCTGATTCCCCTCCTTGGAGATGTATCTCTTTCCACGGAGACTGTTCACAAGCAAAAGGACATACTCTTACACAAATAATGTGGGCACATCCTATGAGTTGGAATTATTCTTCCCAATCGTGCCCCGTCTGCTATTTTTGTAAGTACAGAATTGCAAATTTTTCTTTTCATCATAATAGTAAGTTTTCCTAAGAACTGACATTTATGGCTTGCCCTATAGGCTGCGGTGCTCTTACGTAATGTAGCTTACTGACTGCAATCAATGTAACATCAATCAAAAAAGGTATCGGGCCTTTTAGATGTCCTTATTAGACAAACAGGATTCCGATTCAAAGAGGCAAGAGGAATCCTTGTCCCAGACTTCAGAGCTTGCGTGAAAGAGCTAGGCTTCCATCTCCATGCTGTTCCTTGCTGTTCCTGCCAACCTCTGCCACCGGGAACGTCTTCCCACTAACTCATAGAGACATTCCCCTGGATTTCCAAGGCCGTACATCCTCGGGATGTATCCTCGGGATCCATCCTTCCCCCACACAGCAGCTGCTGGATTTCAACTTCTGACCCACTAGTTAGCAGTCTGACACCTTACATAGGATGCCACCAAAAAAGTTCCTTGCCTGAAGCACTCGATCTGTTTGTTTCCTCTTTCCATTCCCTTTCCTGCCAGGTACCAGGCACAGGGTGCTGGAATGTCAGATCCCTTCTAATTCAAGAGCCCTTTTATTCACTAAAAACATCAAGAAAGCTCTACTGCCATAATTAGTCCCTTTCTAGTCCAATAGTTGCCCTCTTTACTCAGTCTGCATATTCATAAATTGTTGTTGTTGTTATGTGCCTTCGAGTCGCTTGCGACTCATAGCGACCCTATGTACAACAGATCTAAACTCTGCTCTGTCCTGTTTCAATCTTATCGTCTCCGACACACTCGTCCCGATTGCCCCAGTAACTGAATCAATCCACACCCAGAGGGCCTTCTCCTCCTGTGCCTGCCCTCCAACCTCCCAAGCATGATGTTCCTCTCCAAGGACCGGTCCCTCCTTACAACATGGCCAAAGTATGTCAGATGAAGTTTCAGAATCCTTGCCTCCAAGGAGCAGCCCAGTTTAACCCTCTTCAGGATGAATCTGTTTGTTTTCCTAGCAGTCCATGGTACCCTCAGCACTCTTCTCCAACACCAAAGCTCGAAAGCATCAATTCTCCTTCTATCCTCCCTGGTCATTGTCCAGCTCTCTGACGCATAACAAGTGATTGCAAAGACCATGGCCTATACCAAACGCACCTTAGTCTCCAGAGACACACCGTTCCAATTCATAAATTGTAATTTAAAAATAGCAATAACCTGTAGTGCACTGATTACATTTCTTTGTAATCCTTTGGCCTTTATAAGGTCAAGTCATATTAAAAATCATAAACTACAGAAAGAATGTTATCTGTGAGTGGATCTCCTGGTGGTAATTTCTTAAAATTGTTTACCAGTTTTGTAGTGAAACAAGGGGAATATTATTCTTATACTTCTCCTTTCCTAGCTATGACCAGCGAGGGCAATATCTATTCGTGGGAACATCAGAGGGCTACGTGTTTGTTGTCAACGCCTTGCCTTCAAGCTCATTTGAGATTTTTGGATTCACAGGTATGAGAGTGAACATAAATTAAGTTACATTTTCAGTCAATTTATTCCGAAGATTCTAAGGTTGTAAAAAGGAGACTATGGTAAAACATTTAAGCACATGTCCTAAAATGAGAAACATCTACATAACTGTTAAAGGTATTTAAGGAGAAGGAGAATGTCTAGATCAGATTTAGAACCATTTGTTTGGGACATAGTTGATGTAAAAGAAATTTTTCTTGAATTATTTAATGGTTTATTTAAAGAAATGATTGAGCATTCTTAATGTTACTATAAAGATAGTGGAGGGAGACTCTAGACCCCAAGCTTAGTAAAGGATTTTAAGCTACCACCAGGAGCAGGCTCTGCAGGCTCCACCCTTACTTACCCTTAGTTAAGGCTCTGGGCGGCCCACCCACTCCTGAAGAACAGTAACACACAGCGAAAAGGACCCCAGAAACTTCCCTTGCCTGTCTCCCACCAAGTCGAGCTACCATCTGGATGCCAGCCATCCCGCCAGTTAACCAGCCAACTTCCAGAGTGGAGGGAGACTCCAGTCCCCAAGCCTCATGAAGGATTGCCTATGATTTGACTGCAGTTAACAACAACAATAGCATAGAGAGAGATCAGTTTGCCTATTATATTTGGTGAAACATTCTTCTAGGTCGTATAGCCCTGGTCTGTCCACTTGCTGTACAGAGGTAACTTGTGGTTGCTGTGAAGCTGAACACTGTGACACTGATGTGTCAAATGTGAGAATGGTTACCCACGGTGGACAGTGTTTGTTGGAGCTCCCCGATTGAAACAAGCTTGGAAGCAGGAGCAGCATCCATTTCTAAAATAAATTGCCTCTGGGAACCCTATGAACCTGGAGAAAGGACAAAAGTTATAGAAGTGTCCAGGTCTTTCATTCATAGGGTCGCTATGAGTTGTCTACGACTCGACGGCACTTAATGACAACAACATAAGGATAAGTTGGGTTGGCTTTCCCTGGAAATATCTTCTGAAAACAATGCTAGATTTCTTTCTGTTGAGATGTACAAATATCAAAGGCAAACCTTTTGCATGCATCTTTAGTGTTTTTTTGTTTTAATAAACTGTTACCCATATTTTTCTGTAATGCCCAGGTGAGAAAAGCCACAGAACTAGTGGAAGAGGTAGCACTTCAGTGATAAGTGTTAACAACTTTTTGTCTCAGTCTCAACCTGGGTGATGGATATCTGTGATGTTATTGTTTGAAAGAAAACTTTGCGGAAGACAATTAATGACAGTTCAGGAATGAGATCATAAACTGTTAGTTTGAAGCCAACAGATTCTTCATTTGGCATTCATTTATTTGGCATAAACTCGGAAATTTAGGTTTGTAGTTCAAGGTTTAATGATAGAATTCTGGTCGTGGATTCATCTGATGAGATGGCAAGAAAGCATAGAAACCACCTCAGATGTTTAATGGGACCAAGCAGGTGGGCAGATTAGCACACGGAGTGACAGTCAGTGGCTGACTAATTTTAGTTTTAGGTTTTTTAGTGCATGTGTTTTTGTAGTTTTGCTTTACGTATGTGGCTGTTCAGAGAGTAGGGCGGGGAGAGCTGGGTAAGTAGTCCACACACATCAAAGTTATAGATGGAGGACGATGAATCGGTATTGAAAATGAGGAGGATGGTTCAGAGTGATGAGAGAACCAAGAATCTCCCAATTCCAGAAAGATCCTGAAGAAGAAAGACCGGGGAAACTTGTAAACCGTGGCAAAGCTGTGAGTGGGCTCGGGATCGGGATGAGGTGAATAGTTTTGGCGAACAGTGAGTGACTTCTGAGAGAGCTACTTCTTTGGAATGGAGAGACTGGAGAAGGAAAGAGAAGTAGGGAAATGATGTCAGTAAATGGCTACTCCTGTTTTAAGAAATTTGCAGTGAAAGAAAGGCAATTTATGTGGGGACACTGGATTGAAGGAAGGGTTTGATTTGAAGATCAGGGAGTTCTGCATTCTGAATAGAAAGAACGATAGGAGACCCGACAAAAGAAAAGGAAGTGATTGATATCAGGGTGTGAGAAATGGAAACATCTCGAAGAGCCAGCATGAAGGATGGGAGTAAGTACAGCATCTGCCTGGGGCTGCAGGCAGTATTTGGTAGATATTAGATTATCTGGATTCCTAAAAGAGCAAATTCATCAACTCATGATTATTTTCACCTACCCCACGATACCTTAGCTACAGATGCAAAGAATACCGATACCCACGTTTACCCAATGGTATTGTTATTGTTGTTAGCTATCCTCAAGTGGGGCCAGGCCCAGGGTGACCTTACCATCCATAGGGCTTTCACTGACTGCTTTTCAGAACTAGATTGCCGGGCCTTTTCTCCTAGTCAGTGTTCATCTGGAAACTCTGCTGAAAGCTGTCAACATCATGTTAGGAGTAGACGGATGATTAGAGTGGATGTCTAAGGAGCCAAAGCGTGCAGAGTACTAGAGATGTGGTAGACGTGGTGGATCGTGCAGCTGGTTTGAGCGTGCACCTGGTGTATAACCCATTCATTCTTTCATCAGGATTGTCCCTGCCTGTTAGGATCTAAGTTCACTTTAAATGTCCAGTATATATTTGCAAATCTGAAGATGTAGTGGAACCTATACCTTTATTGGTAAAGAGAAAAGATTCTTTAACTTTACAGTGACTTCTCGCGGCCACGGTTTCTTTTTATTTTCAGAGGTGAGCAAAGGCATTTCCCAAATATCCACAGTGTCAATCATAGAAAGTGACATAGTGGAAGTGATGGTGCTATCCTCGCTTCCAGAAACAGGAAGAAGCAGGCTGGAAATGTTTACTCTGCCTACGGTGCTGCCAAAAGGTAAGGAGAGAACAAGCGAGCAGCCCTGTCCTGTGCCCATACACCAGGTGCTACGACAGTGGTTTATTTATTCAGGGGACAGTGTAGGTGTGCAGCCGCTTTGCGTGTTGGAACAAATTGGAGTTGATGTGACTGGAACATGGGCTCTCCTCCAGGGCTCATGACTCATCTATGAATGTGGGTTTTTGCCAAGAAAATGTCAAATAGATTCACCATTGTATGCTATCACTTGTCTTGTACTTTTAATATAATACAATTTTATTCATATATGTATTATGAGGTAATTATAAGGTATAATTGTATACAATTACCTTCATGGCCAAATAATAAAGAAGGCTTTATTGGATGAGTATGTCTAAGACAAGACAGACTCTTTCTTTGTTTTAGATGACAAATACAGTGTGTATAGCAATTTGTCAAATATATAGAGTTTAAGAGGATGGAAAGCTTGAAAGCACATTTATGCTTTAGTTAAGAATATTTAGTTAAGTTATAATGGGTGTATTATGTGTTGAGCTGCTAACTAGAAGGTCGGTGGTTCAAATCCACCAGCTGCTTCTCAGGAGAAAAATAGGCAATCTCCTCCCATAAAGATTTATAACCAAGGAAACCCAAAGGTGGGTCACCATGAATTGGAACAGACTTGATGGCAGTGACTTTGGGTTGGGTTTTGGTTATAAAATCATCGGAGTCTCTGGGTGGAGCAGATGGTTAATGTACTCAGTTAACCATGAGGTTAGTGGTTTGAATCCACCCAGGGCCTGGCAGCCTGCTTTCATCCAGTCAGACACAGATGAAGCACAGCTCTGCTCAGACACGTAGGGGCTGCTGTGAGTCAGAATGGATTAGGTACATTTAGTTAGCAGGTTTGGCCTCTGTGATTTTCATTAATCACTTTAAGATATTATTTTGTTATTTATTGTTAATAAATAATGTTCTATTATTATATTATTAGATATTAATTTGGTTATGCAACAATGAATGAAGTGAAGGCAGGGAGGGAGGAAAATGTGCAACAATGAATGAGTGAAAATCCAACTTTTCTGTAAACTTTCATTAAAATCACAATAAAAATATATTATTTGGTTTGATATAATTGTTCTTTTAAAAAATCACTATATGGTGCATATGATCTCTCCTTTTCTCCAAATCTCGCAGTTTCTTCAGCCTTTACTGACGAGAGAGGGAGGCTGAAAGATGAATTCATCCACAAGTTCCTATATGAGATCGAGCATGTTCTGTCCTCTGCAGTCTTGGACTTTCAAAGCCGCCAGATTTTTGGCCTCTGTACCCAATGGCCATTCATCTGTAGCTATGTGATTCCTCTACAAGTATGCCAAAATTTAAGTGCACCTTTAATTTATCTTAGAAATCAAACATCATACTGTGTATTAACTGGGTGTGCTTCTCTTAACTGCCTTCACATATAATTCTAGTTACCAAATGACTTTATCCTTTGTGTTGATACCATTCATACTACTTGTTACTCCATCATAATGTGTTTGAACCATCTCATGCTGTCACATACCCATCATGCTTTTTGGATAAATATGCAGGAGAAAACAAAACAAACCCTAGTATTAGGAAATCTTTTTCATAGGTCTCTAGGTCAGTAGGTAGGTGATTTTCAGTGGGACCTTGCACCCAGGTGCCAAACAAATTTGCATAAAATCAATCAGCGTCCTTTCGTTACTTTGCTCAACCTTCTCCCGCATGGATCAACTCCCACTGCACCCACCATCTTCCTGCTGCCTTTCTCTATTTCAAGTTCCCCAGTGATGTCTGTCTGTCCATCTGCCCCAAGATTATCCACCATTCTTCCTCCCTGTCCTCTTCAACAAAGCCTTTCTCTCCCAGTCTATAGGATGTAGGCAAGATAGTAGATACGGAAGTTTAGAGGACAAAACTATTTCTAGTAGCAAAGGAATAGCAAGAAAAGCTTTATGGGAGAAGTAGTATTTGAATTGGCTTTGGAAGAACAGGTCAGATTTAGTCATGGAAAAATAGTGTGAGCAGTCTTGGGAAGTGAGGGTGAAGTGAGGCAGGGGCAGGAAAGCGCATCCCAGACCAAAAAATAAAAAACCAAAACAAAACAAAAAAAACAAACAAAAAACGGAGGTGTGAGCAGAGACTTGGAGGCAGGCATGCGTATGACATCTGGGGTTGGGATGGCGGATGGATTAAAGTTATTTTGATAGAGCATGGGTTATGTAAAGATGATTACAAATAAAAAAATTATCTATCTAGGCTGTGGGCCTTTAACACCACCACCAGGCTAACCTACAAAGAATTTGTTGCTGTTGTTGTTGTTGGCAAATACAGACTTTGATTTGCAAATCAAGATAAAAACACTAATACAAACACTGAGACCTACTTTATAATGCATCAGTACATTACCAATGGCAGTGTTTGCAGATTTCCTGCTAATCAAAAGTCAGTGATTCAAATCCACCACCCACTCTATGGGAGAATGGTGAGGCAGGCTTCTTTCATAATAATTTATAACTTCTTAAACCTGGTGTAGGGAGCTCTGGTGGTGTAGTACTGAGGGGGCAAAGACCACACCTCTCTGGTGGTCCAAATCCACCAGCAACTTTGAGAGAACAAAATTGGCAATCTCTTTTCATGCAGCTTACAGCCGCAGAAATATATTCACACAATGGAATACTATGCAGCACTGAAAAAACAAGGAACTCATAACATATACAAAATGGGTGACCCTGGAGAACATTATGCTGAGTGAAATATCTAAGTCACAAAAGGACAAATGCTGCATAGTGCCACTGTTATAAAACAGGACTGACATTGAGGTTGGGGGGAAACTAAGAGAAGAGGGGATAAATAATGAATACTGCATTTAAATAGATGAGAGGAAGAACTGTCTAAGTATTATCTGCATGACAACCATCTAGAATAAGAGGTGCATAGCAAAGTGGACTGAGGGGCAGGGGGCAGAGGGAGGAAATTGTGCATCAATGAAAGAATCTTTTTAAAGGAAAAAGCGAACTGGGGGAGGAAAACGTGCAACAATGAATGAATGAATGTCCAAGTTTTCTATAAACTTTTGTTAAAATACGAATTAAAAAAAAAAAAGTCCAGTGGGGGCTCATCTGAGTTGGTTCCACCTCGAAGGCCATAAGGGTTTTTTTACCTAATCTTGTGTTTCTTTGTTCATTTTCAAACCTAATGTCGGGTCACTATCGGTCAAGATCAACTAGATGATAGTGGGATTTTTTTTGTTGGGCTTGTTTTGTGTTTTGGAATAGACACAGGGCAGAATCCTGGTGCTGCCTCTGAACTTTTCTGAACTGTGACCCTCTTCTTTGATTGGCAGGAACATGTTGGTATTTGTGTTCTTAAACCATTTCGAAAACTGCAAAGTCGACTCTATGGGCCTGGAAAGGTGTCTCTGTCTTCTCATGGAATGTGGCTCTTAGCAACAGCGAAATGTGGGACTCTGTGCATCCTGGATGCTCTTTCTTTGGTAAATAAACGTCTTTATGTATTTATTTTTATTATTATTATTCTTATTGTGTACCATTGAAGCAGATCTAACAGGCACAGGAGGAGATTGCCTCTCCTTCTCCAGCAGAGCATCTAGTGGATGGATTCGAACCACACACCTTCAGAATTGCAGCACAGCTTCTTGCCACTAGGCCAGCAGAGCTCCCTTTCTTTATTATTTTTTAATGCCACAATGATCGTGTATAAGGACAAAAGCTCTTAGGAAAATACCTGGAACTGAGTAATTTTATTCATAATGTGTTTACCATTGATGATATTATTGATTCAAAGATTCTGATTGGTGATTTTTGTCTCTCAACTCTCTCATTTTTGTTGAGTCAAAATGGACTCATAGCTTATTGTTCTGTTGTAGAGTAAACATGGCCATGTTAATGTGTGTGCTTTCAGTGTTAGGCACGATATCTGGTATGTAAAATTACTTCATGAATATGTATTAAATAAAGGACTGAGTAAATATTTCTTTATTGGGCTCATAGCTGACCCTCCGTTGGATTTCCAAGGTTGTAAGTCACACAGGAGGAGACTGCCCTTCTTCCTCCTGTCACCAAGCTGCTGTTGAACAGGACAAGCCCACTCAGCCTTAGCAGTGCAGCGCCCGATGTGCTAACTTCTTCTTATGTGTTGTTATTGTTGTTATTTACCGTGGAGTCAGAACCGACTCCTAGTTGACCTTCCAGTGGGTTTTCAGGGACATAAATCACACACAATAATTTGCCCATTGGAGCAACTAGTGAATTTGAGTCACGAGCCTTTGGGTTGGCAGCACAACTCCTTACCCCTAAACCAACAGGACTCCCTTAATTTTCTGTGTGTAGTAGTTTGCAACTTTAAGGGAAGGAATCCTAAAACAGTAGAGTGTAATGTCCCCATGCAAGACCCTGAACTGAGTGAGGCGCTGAAGTTGGCTGATTGCCTAGCCCAGCACCAGCATCTGTTACCTGTGTGTGTCTTGACGACTCACTGAGCTTCACTTGCCCATATAGAAGACTGGTTTTGCTCTCCCACTCTCAATTTCTTGCAGAGCTCTAGTGAAGGCTTGTGGGACTGTGTATGTGAGACCCCTTCTGCATATAGTGAGTCACCGTGGAAACATAAGAAGCCCTGGTGGCCCAGAGCACTGTGGGCTGGGCCGCTGCCTTAAAAGTTGACCATGGGAATCCCCTAGCTGCTCTGCAGGATGAAGATGAAGCAGTCTTCTCGCATAAACATTTGCAGCCTCAGAAAGTCAGTGAAGGGTTGCCATGAATCCAACTTGGTGGGAACAAACATAAAGGATTACAGTGAACTCTTCCTGCCCTGGGGACCTCCCGGCTGCTCGCTGTTACCCCACTCTACTCTTTGGATGCTGGGAGAGTAGAGAGAGAAGAGTGTAGTCCTGGGTGCATCTTCTCCATGCTTTGTTCACCTCAGTGCCACTGCTGTCACAGTCGCCATGTCTGATTTCTGCTGCTTGGACCTGTGTTGTTCTTTGTTGTTTGTTGTAGAGTCAGAATCAGCCCATGGCTGTACTTCCAGCAGACTTTTCACTTCAGTAAACTGCACAGGAGGAGATTGTCAACCTTTTTTCCTCAGAGCGGCTGGTAGATTTAAACTGTGTTCTTTTGAGATTGCAGTACAGCCTCTTACCACGGGCCGCTGGAGCTCTATGTTTGGACTTGTGAGAAAGTTCCATTAGTTCTTTCTCCTGAAGAGCTGGAGACTCTTTTTCTTTCTTTCTTTTTTTAATCAGAATCAGTGTTTATTCCTGTTGACAATAATGGAAGGGCTTCAATAGGAGGGCAAATATGCTTACAAATTGTCATCAGTAAGAACACAATCCTTTCGTCTGGAGAGACTCTTTTTTTAAGTGTATACTGGTCATCAATAGAACATAACCTGGCCAAGCTTCTTCACCATCCACTGGGGGATTTCCTGCGAGGCCCTAGACATTCCAGACCACTGGCCGCATATGCCCTGACCCTGTCACTTCTGCGAGAAAGAGTCCTGATAAAAGTATTAGCACTAATATATAGAATGAACCTGGCAAGTAGCCTCCTTGAGATTATTTTTAAGTGACCTTAGAACAGAGCAGGGCAACACTGCATGGTTCAAAATTGGGAAGGGTGTACACCAGGGATGTGTCCTATCTCCATACCTTTTCAACCTGTACGCAGAGCAAATTATCTGAGAGGCTGGGCTCTATGAGGAGAAGCGTGGCATTAGGATTGGTGGAAGATCTATTAACAATCTGTGTTATGCAGATGACACAACCCTGCTCGCTGAAACTGAGGAGGACCTCATGCACTTACTGCAGAGGGTCAAGGACTTCAGCCTTCAGTATGGACTGAGGCTCAATGTCAAGAAGACAAAGATCCTCACCACTGGACCAATCGGTAGCCTCAGGATGGATGGCGAAGAGATTGTGATTGTTCACAGCTTCAGTTTGCTCGGCTCCACGGTCAACACTCTTGACACCAGCAGCCAGGAAATCAAAAAACGTATTGCGATGGGAAAGTCTGCTGTTAGGGACCTCTCTAAAGTACTCAAGAGCAACGGTGTCTCTCTGGAGACTAAGGTGCACCTGATACAGCCCATGGTTTTTGCAATCACTTATTATGCATCAGAGAGTTGGACAATGACTAGGGAGGATAGAAGGAGAATTGACGCCTTTGAGCTGTGGTGCTGGAGAAGAGTATTGAATATACCATGGACTGCCAAGAAAACAGATTCATCCTAGAGAGGGTTAAACCAAGCTACTCCTTGGACGCAAGGATTCTGGGGCTTCATCTTACATACTTTGGACATGTTGTAAGGAGAGACAGGTCCTTGGAGAGGGACATCGTGCTTGGTAGGGTGGAGGGACAGTGCAGGAGGGGAAGACCCTCTATGAAGTGGATTGATTCAGTGACTGGGGTAATAGGGATGGGTGTGTCAGAGGCAATGCGATTGGCACAGAATAGGGCAGGGTTTAGGGCTGTTGTACATAGGGTTGCTATGAGTCGCAAACGACTCGATGGCACATAACAACAACAACAACATTTGCTAACTCTGCTACATGCTTTTTTTGGATTGTTGGTGGCACCATGATTAAACACTCAGCTACTGTCTGAAGGATCCGGAGCTCAAATCCACTGTTCACTCTGTGAGAGTGCGTGATGCTGTGCGTCCCTGAAGATCACAGCCTTGGCAGTTCTGTGGGGCAGTCCTGCTCTGTCTGACGGGGTAATTATGAGTCAGAATTGGCTCAACAGCAACAGGGTTGGTGGGTTATTTATGCATCCGTTCATGCTACACACTTTCTTACTCAAAGGATTTTGTAATGTATGTTACAACTGGTTGTGATAGGACACGGCAGGACATCAGTCAGTCTAGGCTATTCTGTGCTAGCCGGAAACCCACTTCCTGCCGTCGAGTTGATTCTGACTCCTAGCAGCTCTCCATCGGCTTTCTGAGGCTGAAAGCTGCCTCTCTCTGAGGCGGAGACTGCACAGCTTCTTCCTTGGAGAGTCTCATGGATTCGAACTGTCAATCTTCGAGATGTCAGTCTGACACCTCACACTCTACACTAACACGACTCAACAGGAGCAAGAGAACAGCTCACGTGAGAGATCACGTCAGTCTGTTTTTGGTACATGAATCGCTCACTTACGCACGCACGTGCTCATTCCATGCTCTCAAGTTAGAACCAGTTGGTAGCTAATCCACCAGTGGCCTCTCCCAGGCTGTAAATCACACGGAAAGAGATCGCCCACCTTTCATCTGAGGAGCCACTGGTGGATATGAACCGTCAGAGTGACTCAGCTTTGAGATTGGCAGCACAACTTTCCACAAACTAGACAACTTCTTGTTGCGTACTGTCCAGTCCAAACTGACCCATAGCAGACCCTCCAGGGGGTTTTCAGAGGCAGGATAATCACATGAGAAGAAATTGCCTTTTTTTCTCTAGGAGCAGCTGGTTGATTTGAACTGCGTGCCTTCAGGATTGCAGTGCAACTCCTTACCACTAGGCCACCAGAGCTCCCTTTTGGCCACCTCACAGGACAGGTTCTTCATGGCAATTTCTTGAATGAATTTGGGCAAATTAATAAGGGTAAATTTTAAATATATTTAAAATAAAGGGAGCTGTGGTGGCCTAGTGGCAGAAAACTGCACTGCAATCCCAAAGGCTTGCAGTTCGAGGCCAGCAGCTGCTCCATGGGAGAAGGCTGAGCAGTCTCCTCCCGTGTGATTAACTGCCTCTGAACACCTGCTGGAGGGTCAGCTAATAGTCCATTCCAACTCTTCAGTACACAACAACAACATGAAATAAAATGCTATATAACGGTAATACCAAAAGAAGAAACTTTTCTAAAATGATATGGAGAAGACCCCACAACATAGGGCTGAGGAAAAACCAAGATGCATAATATATGTATTAGCTACAGTTTGTTTAAAGAGTGGGGGATAAAGTCTAATTTGTTTATATACGCACATAAAAAGCCTGAGTGAACGCTGAAATTACTGTTGCCTGTGGAGGGTATGAGGTGGTTAGGGAATAGGGACATAAAGAAGAATTCCATTGAATATTCATATAACTTTTCAGATTTGTGCCATTTGAATGTGTAGCCCATTGAAAAAAATAAAACTTTTATTTTTAAAATTAAAAAAAAAGATAATTGAGGACTAGTGTGAGATAGCAGTTTTAGATTTTTGTCCAGGCATTTTAAACTGTTGCTCCCTGTACCACATTAGTGTGGCGGTGTTTTGTTTGGTCAGTGAAGTGTTTTCAGAATTGCTTTAATTCAAATCTTCCAGGTGGGACATGTTATCACCCAAGCTTAAAGGTGCCCCCACTTCTCCCTTAGCACCCACCATCTCTTCACACCTCAATGCAAGCTGTCCCGATTCCTGGAAGCATTGGCATTTGTGGCCTCTGCCTGCCCACAGTTCTTCCTGGTTTCACAAAGGTAGTTGGAGGCTAAATCACTGCCTGTGCATGTGTTTCAAACTAGTGATTTGGAGTGTTCTGGAGCAGTGGTTTGCAGTGAATTGCACTCCTGAACCCATGCTGAGTGTCTCCAGCGTTTGAAGCCATCAGCAGATCTGCAGGAGAAAGACAGGCAGCCACCTTCCCTTGAGGCTGGAAACCTGATGGAGGGTTGCTCTGAGTTGGGGCTGACCCGGCAGCAGTGAGTTTAAGTGTGTGTGTGTGTGTGTGTGTGTGTATATACATTCATATCTATACACATATAGACACACACACACATATATATACATACATATACATATATATGTTGCTGTTGTTGATTGCCTTCAAGTCGAGCAAAACTCAGAGCAACCCTCTGAACAAAAGGCGTGAAACCCCTCTACAACTACCGACATTTATCAAAGTTCATAGTTTCCAGAGGAATGTTCTTTAGGAAGTGGATGTCACTCCTGCTTTACACACACACACACACACACACACATACACACACACCCCTACAATCCCAAAGGTATGTGGTGTGAATCCATCAGCTGCTTAATGCAGAAGGGTGGGCAATCTCCTCTTACACAATTACCTGCCTCTGAAAACCTGCCAGAAGTCAGTTCCACTTCGATGGTTCAAAACAGAAACAAGTATACATATTTGTTCTTGTTGTGTGATGTCCTATCAGAACTGACCCATAGCTCACCTTAGAGTAGGTTTTCAGAGGCAATAAATGGTACGAAAGGAGATTGTCCATCCTTCTCTGTGGAGCAGCTTGTGGATTCAAACTCTGCACCTTTGGGATTGTAGTGCAGCTTCTTCCACGAGGCCACCAGAGGGTGTGTGTGTGTGTGTGTGTGTGTATGATCAAGTCAGAACGGACTCATAGCTGACCTCCCAGCGTGTTTTCAGGGGCAATATTTAGACCTGAGAGGAGATCACCCATCTTTCCCCTCTAGAGCGACTGCCGAATATGAACCACCAGTGAGGTGCTGCCTTTGGACGAGCAGCACATCTCCCTGTGGGCTGTCCCACCAGAGCTCCCTGTATAACCCAGAGGTCACTGCGTTATCCAAATAAAATGCTCCCTGCCAGTAGAAAAGGATTTCTTCATAAAGGAAAGTGCATGAAGCTCCTAAAAGAATCCACGTCGTACACTTGCATTTCTAATTTCTGCATTTTTATCTTAACCCTCTTTAGGACACACTTGGTTACTGTCGGAGCCATTCTTACCAGGCACAAGGAATTCAGGCAGTGAAGATCTCAATGGATGGACAGGACATCCTGTTGAACGGGAGGACCGACGGCACTCTTGTTTGTCTGAAATGGAAGTAAGTGTCATGCGCAGTAAGCACGCACCGAGGCACCGAGGCACCGGGGGACCAGCCCTCTCTTTTGTCAGACTGTTGGAGGAGCACAAGGGATGAATTCTGAATAGTCATTTAAAAGGCCACGTTATGGTGGTGGTTATGTATCTTTGAGTCAGAGCTGACCCATAGCTGACCCTTTTCTTTTTTTATTTTTTTTATTAATTTTTGTGTGTGTACCATCAAATCGGATCTGACTGGTACAGGAGAAGATTGCCCCTCCTTCTTCAGCAGAGCATCTGGTGGATTTGAACCATGCACCTCTGGGATTGCAGTGTAGCTTCTTGCCACTAGGCCACCAGAGCTCCCTAGCTGACCCTTTTCAGCGGCAGTTAATCGCATGGGAGGAAATTGCCTAACTTTCTCCCACCTTTGGGTTGACAGCGTAACTCCTTACTAGTAGGCCTCAAATATTAAATTATTTAGGTTTTGCTTAGGTAAAATAATGAAAATAAGCAAAGTTTTCGAAAACTTTAAGTATAATGAGTAAAATAATAATGCTCCCCTCATTGAGTGGCTATGAGGATCAAATGAGCGGATGTAAGGATTCATATGTGTGCGTTCATTGCACCTGGTATTTTCTTTGGGCTCAGTCTTTCCAGTGCAATGACCATGGTGGTTATGGAGGACACACTGGGGCCGGGTTTGGGGAGATCATAGGCGAGGTCGAGGACTTGAAGCCTGTCTCGTCCTGTAGCCCATGAAAAGGCTCGCCTATAAGAAGATAGAGTCTCATAATAGCAGGGTACTGCGGGAAATTGTTCACTCATTTCTTACTTTGGGCAAATTCTTAGATATTCTTAGAAACCTGGCAATAATACTTATCAATGTATTGATAACAATATATCATTGATGGTGATTTTTTTTTCACCCCATGTGCTTTCTTTTTGTTAATTACAGGCAATTTGTAGGAGCCTTAGCCACCAACAGTCTCGACTACTACCTGAAGCTGTTAACGTTTTTGAGTGAAACCATAGAAGAGGAGAGCACCTGTTTAAGTGGAATGCAAAAAACCACCGCAGAGGTGGAACCAGTCAACGGAGACACAGATGACTTACCAGTGAGCTTTCTTTCCTTTTAAATTACAGGTCCTTTTGCAATTTGTGATTTTTCTTTAAACAGGTATTTAGTGATATCCTTCTTTATCCAGACATTGCACAATCTTCTGAGTATGAGCTACAATCTGAGAGTAATCTTCAGATTTTCTCAAAACAGTCACAGCTATTCTTCGATGCCATTCAGGTAGTGCAAAGATTTGAGTTCACCTCCAAAAGAAAAGCCTACGCCAGTACTGATACTTTGACTAAGAGGTCTCTCTCTAATTTTATATGGCAAACCAGCCGCTCCACAGGAGAAAAATGGGCTTTCTCCTCTCACGAGATTTGCAGCCTCTGAAAACCCACTTGGAGGGCCAACCATGAGTCAGTTCTGACATAACGGCACATACCACCAACATATATTCTTTAGGTGCCTGGGTACTACAAACAGTTCACATGCTGACTGCCAATGCAAAGGTTGGTGGTTCGAATCCACCCAAAGATGCTTGGGAAAAAGACCTGGAGACCTACGTGAGAGAAAGAAAATGAGCCACTAAAATGACACCCAGTCCTACTCTGACCTCCACACATGTGGCCCCCACGAGTCAGCATTGACTTAATGAGCACTGGAATGATTTTTACTGTAATCACTCATTTAACAAACATAGTCACTGAAAGCCCTTAGAATGTGACATTGTGGGTAGATAGCTATGAGTAAGACAGAAACAGGGCGCTCTGGTGGCCTAGTAAGAAACGGTGCTGCAATTCCGAAGGCACACGGTGTGAATTCACCGCAACTGCTCTATGGGGGAAAGATGGGCCATCTCCTCCCATAAGACTAACTGCCTCTGGAAACCCACTGGAGGGTCAGCTGTAGGCTGGTTCCGCCTCAACGGTACACAACAACAAGATAGAATCAGGTATCTTCTCTCATGGAGCTTACATTCAAATTGAAGAATGGGAATGGGAGGGGAGAGGCTGGTGCATCGCACATAAGAAATTCTTAAGAAGTGACAGGTTCTATTCACCAAAGAAAAAGAAATTGATGTGGAAGAGTGGAGCTTGGCAGGCTCACTGAGAAGAAGGCGTTGAAGCCAAGATCTGAAATAAAAGGAGGTCCCACACAGTGTGTCAGAAAAGTGAGATTGGCTTAGGATGGAAAGGGTTAAGAGTTCTTGTGCATGGGGGTCACTACGAGTCATAAGCAGCTCAAAGGCACATAACAGTAACAAAACCAACAATCATATGAATGACATCTTAACACTTTTACCATAATTGACTGACTAAAATAAAATTATCAATACTGCCTGCATTCAAGAGTACAAGATTAAACAATGGCGTATCATTGGAGGCAGCCTAGTTTGTGTCCACGATAGTTACTTTACTTATATTGGGTGTATCTTTACAGGTTTTCCCCAGTAATCACATACATACAGTACATTCCAGGTATTAAGTAAGTGGATTGTCTTCATTTTGTCACTATTACTTAAAAATCTGTGTTATTAATTGTAATATTTGTAAATGCAATACATATATACATACATATGGAAGTAGGGAGAAAGGACCCAGAGAAAAAGTAAAAAAGCTCTTGGTGTGTTTGAGAACCTCAGAAAGGACTGTACAATTGAGATGAATGCTTGAGCAGACAGTGTTTGGAGTAATTAAAAAATGCAACAAAATTATACGAAGTGGCATAAGTCAGTTAAAGGGACAATTACGGCACAAGATCACTGTTAGAAAAAGCAAACAAAAAAGTTTGCAAGCAGAATCATTCTTAGAAGGGTCAGTAGGAGGGAAGGAAAGGGGATTGAAAAATAATAAATAGGTAAGTTAGGCAAAAGGGAAGACAATTTAAAATAAGGAGTCAATCAGATACTATAATTAGTGAATGACATTAATCAGTTGTAATTAATGTGCTAAAATAAGATGTGTATGAATGGTTGAATGAGATAGCAGCATTATTTGGAAACTTTCACTCAAATGTAAAAAAAAAAATGCAACCTGTGCAAAAGGATTTGAGGTAGTTACCTAGAGTTGGGTAGAAAAGATTTTTTATTCATTTTTATTAATAAATTTAAGATTTGTCATTTTCGTTCTAAGGCCCCTCAGGAAAGGCAGCTAAGCATGGACTTCTCACAGGAGGAGCTAGAGCCAGTCGAGAACACGAAGGAAATTTCCTGGATACAAGCAAAAAGTAAAGCGGTAAATAGCACATAAGACACATTTGAACTAATGCTCTGGAGCCCAACCAGACAGCCTGGTTTCTCTGAGAGCCTGTTGGAAAGTCGAACAAGACACCACTTCACCGGTCAGGTTGTACAAGTGAAAGGAAACAAAAATCCTCACTCGTGTTGCTGTTGGATGCCGTCGAGTTGAGTATGACTCATAGCAGCCCTTTGGAATGATGGATCTGAACCCTGCCCTATCCTGTACCATCCTCGTCATTCCTGCTATATTTGAGCTCATTGTTACAATCTCTGTGCCAATCCATCCTGTCAAAGGTCTTTCTCTCCTTTGCTGACCCTCCACTTTTCCAAGCATGTTATCTTTCTCCAAGAACTGGGCCCTTCTAACAACATGCTCAAAATATGTGAGACAAAGTTTCACCATCCTTACCTCTAAGGAACACCCTGATTGTACATCCTCCAAAGCATATCCTTTTGCTCTTTTGGCGGTCTATGGGATATTCCGTATTCTTCTTCAATACCACAACTCAAAGACATCAACTTTCTGTCATTCTTAGTCCCTGTCCAACTTTCAGATGTATAGCAAGTAATTGAAAAGGCCATGGCTTTGAGCAGGTGCACCTTAGTCTTTAAAGTGACATCCTTGCTCTTTGGAACTTTAGAGAGGTCCTTGACTGCAGATTTTCACAATACAATGTAATTTGATTTATTGACTACTGATATGATACCATGGGTGTTGCTTGTGGATTCAAGTAAGATGAAGTCATTGCTTCCGCCTTCGCTCCATGTATCATGATGTTGCCTGTTGGCCTAGTGGTGAGGATTTTAATTTTCTTAACGTTGTGACGTAGCCCATACTGAAGGCTGTAGTCCATACTGAAGGGTATAGTCCATACTGAAGGCTGTAGTCTTTGATCTTCTGAGGCAATTGTCTCAAGTCCTCCTCGCTATCAGCAAGCAAGGTTGTGTTACCCGCATGAAGCAGGTTGTTGATGATGAATCTTCCTCCATTCCTGATGCCACATTTTTCTTCATAAAATCTAGCTGTACTGAACCCAGATTGAATAGATATGGAGAAATGATACAGCCCTGACTCATACCTTTCTTGGTTTTAAACCATTCAGTGTTCCCTTGCACTGTTCAGACAGCAGCTCATTGGTCTAGATAGAGGTTTTGCATGAGCACAATTAAGTGTTCTGAAATTCCTATTCTTCTCAATGTTAGCCAGAGTTTACTAATACACACAGTTAAATGCCTTTGCCTAGTGAATAAAACACAAATAGCCATCTATCTGGTATTCTCTGCTTTTAGCCAGGATCCATCTGACAAATGCCTGTGTTTGATTTTTCACTACTTGACTGGTTGCTTTCCATTCACCTACTAGCTGACACTAGGTCCAAATTCTTTCAGTGGCCACTTGGACTTGAGCAGGAAGCACGGTGGGGTTTATGTTTAGTGCATTTTATATTGTCACTTTAAAAAAACCTCTTCCTAGAGAATTACTATCTATGTATCTGTAGCCTCTATTCCTTCCCTTGCTTTGTTAAGTGACATGCTTTCTTCATTCCAGGCCATCAAAAAAGAGGTCCAGAAGTTCTCCAAGAAAAGGAGAGAGATAAAAAATGGCATCAGAGCGCTTGCTAAAACAGTAAGTTCTAAGATCTTCTAAAATTATTCTTGGGACTTTATTTTATACCCATTTTTTTTTTCCTCTCTCTGTATATAAGCTCTGTTTTCTGGGATATTTTAGCAGGGTAGAATTTTCATCATGTCTCACTACCTAGAAATACCTTCTCAAATTGACACAGATCGCCAGGGCGCTCTCTGCAGAGCTCTTGAACGGGCTTGAGTCAACCACTATGAGTCACCAGGTCTCCACTAAGCTGCTGAGCATTAACTGTACCCCCAGAGCTCCTATCTTATATTTCTAATATCACAACTGTATTTTACCTTGAATGAATAATTTTTTTTTGTTAAATTGTCCTCTGTATCTATTGCCTATTTAGACTCTTGTAAACGTTTCAGAAAACTATTCTCAGTATACTCAAATACCTCGGCCAATCAAATACATCAGGTCATCAATCAGTGCATTTTTTTTAAACTTGGTAACTTGCCACCTAGAGCCACTAATCCCTGTGGACTGGACACATAACTGTTGTCCCTGGGATGGCATATTCCCCAAATTCCTCCCCTCACCACCCTACCCCCACACCTCCTAAATTAGAACTTCTGTTTCACAAACTCTAGTAACCCCACAATTTAAGTCTTTAATCACTAGTTACATTGAGATTAGCAGAAACCCATCCATCATTTGAGTCACTACTGCCTCATGAGGGAGCTCTGGTAGCTTAGTGGTAGAGTTGTGCTGCCAACCCAAAGACACACGGTTCGGACCCACCAGCTGCTCCATAAGAGAAAGATGGGTACTTTCCTCCCATGTGATTAAACTGCCTCTGAAAACCTGCTGCAGAGTCAGCACTGAGTGGGTTCTGACTCGATAGTAACAACAACATTGCCTCATGGGACTAGAAACCCCTTCCCTCCAAAGGCATTCCTTTCTTATCTCCACCCCTTCCTGTTTTAAAAATGCAGATTCTGAGTATGATGGAAGAAAATGAAACACTCAACTACATTGCAAAGTTAGATCAACAGGAATTTAGCCTGGACGTTGAGGAGTTGGAGAAACTTCATGATGAAAGCGAGGAAGAGGTGGCAAAGGTAGGGGAGATCCTAGCTGACGTGTGGGAAAGCTGTGCGGAGGTGAGCACAGAGAAACGGGAAAGGGAAGGTGTCCAGAACAACGCAGACAAAGTGAAATGCCTTTCCAGCATCACGTGAATAACACAACGGTAGCCCGTATAAAGAGAGCGTCAGGCTTTGAACCCCATGGTTCAATTGCTAACAGATCGTGTCGGCTGTTTCTTATCATTTTGAGCCAGGCCACATCAGAAAAGGAGGTTTCCCTGAGAGCTTCACCCCATTAACACCAAGTCTGCCCTGAAGAAGCAGCTCTGCCCCAGACACACTGTGACGTCCTTCCAACCTGAGAGGCTCCTTAACACCATAGCGGACGGTGTCCCCTGCTGACCGTGAACTCTTCGCGGGCTGAGTCTCTTCTCATGAGTTGATCACCAGGCCCTTCTTCCTATTTGACCTTAGTCTGAAACCTCTGCTAAAACCTGCCCACCAGGGGTGACTCTGCTGGTCTTTGAAACCTCAGTGGCACGGCTTTCAGCATCACAGGAACACTGAGAAGCCACCACAGTACAACAGCTGACGTATGAGTGGTGATGCAAGTGCTGAAGTATTTGTTCTCAGAATAAAATTCAAGGACATTTACATGAATTATAACTGTTTAAACAATTACACCTAAAAGGAGGCTCTTATTTTATTAATTTCTGTAGGAGGGAGTGTTCCACTTGTGTGTCTATTAAACTTGTTTATAAATAACTAAGGTAAAGAGCTAGGGAGCTCAGGTGACTTGTTGTTGCTGTCATTTTGGGTGATTTTTCCTTTTTTTTCTTCATTTTATACTGATTTATTTACAAAGTTTGAATACATTGTTTTTCACAAAAGAGCATTCCCACTTCCTTCACCCATCGAATTGTGTGACCCTATGATTAACACCCCACACCCATCCTCACTCCTCTGCTTCCACCCGCCCCCCATACTCATACTGGATCCTCATATTCATTCTACAGTAGTGGTTTTTATACAGTATTTGCCCTTGTGGGACTGAGTTAGTTCACTCAGCATAATGTTCTCCAGTCCCTCCCACGTTCGGTAGTAATTTATAACATCATCGCTCCTGCGTGCTGCCTAGTATTCCATTGTATGAATGTACCACAACTTCTCAATCCTGTTGCTGTTGTTTTGCCATCAAGTTGAAATCAATCCATAGCTGACTCTCCGGTGAGTCTTCAAAGGCAGTAAATCACCAGGGAGGAGATTGCCCATCTTCCTTCCATGGAGCAACTGGTGGATTCAAACCCTGTGCCTTTGGGATAGAAGTGCAGCTTTTTACCACTAGGCCATCAGAAAGCTCCATCCTAGATAAATTAATCAAATAATAACCTCCTTGGTGGTAAGGAATTGCACTGTCAACCCAAAGGTACACAGTTCAAATCTGCCAGCTGTTCCAAAAAAGAAAGTCAACTCCTGTATGACAGACATACTGCTTCTGAACACCTGCTGGAAGGTCAACTCAACAATACACAACAACGGTGATAATGTGAAAATATAGAGGAACAATTTACAGAAAGTTAATTGTCAAATGTGGGATTAAGGTGAAACTAAGAAGGATAGAAAATGTATTGCATGATTGATTCAAGACCAACAGACTCTTAAAAAGCTGATTCAATACAGTAAAGCTCACTTGAGGTCCTTCATCACTTACCCGTTCACCCATTCATTCTGCATCATTTCTTGACCACCAGCTAGCCTGTAACATTTATGCTAGTCACAGTCGTGGTACTACAGCTGCAATAATAAGCAAGGTGCACAGGCAGTACTGGGCCCACATCTCCGCACACAGTACCAATGCTGTGTGAATACGGGGCTCCAGCTCATCTCTGACCCCCTTTCCTCCCAATGAGGCCTTGGCCTCACCTCCTACTTCCACATTTATATGCCCAGAGAGGCATTTTTGTTGACACCAACTTTTCAATTTCTAAAGGCATAAACTTCAGGAAAGAGTCTCAAAGACAGAGGTGTGTTCTCTCCAAAGGGCAACTCTCTGGTTTGGGGAGTGATCCTCGATCTTTGTCATTGAATATGTGACAGGGTCTTCTTGTCACTGCTGACCTTTGGCAAGCCCTGGAGGACAGAATTGTTTGTGCATTCAAATGTTGAGATTATTTTTGTTTAAGAAGCTACACTTTCGTCTCTAACTTTCTCTTTCCCCTGTGTCCTTCAAGATAAGAAATGATACAGAGATGGATAACCTAGCCAAGAGATATTTGACTGAACTGATCAAAAAAGAATGCTGGGATTCAATGGCTGTGAAAGGTTGTGCTCTTAAGGTAACACACATATTGAACTTGAATCCTTCCACCTTACTCAGCTGGTCCACTAGCTCTACTTGTTGTCAATGAAGGAAAGTGTAGGGGGTGGAAATCTGCATAATAAAAAAAAATACATGAAAAAGAAAAAGGTAACATATATAGCCATGGTCTTCGCAATCACTTGTTATGCATCAGAGAGTTGGACAATGACCAAGGAGGATAGAAGGAGAACTGACACCTTTGAGCTGTGGTGCTGGAGAAGAGTATTGAGAATACCATGAACTGCTAGGAAAACAAACAGATTTGTCCTGGAAAGGGTTAAACCGGGTGGCTTCTTGGAGGCAAGGATTCTGAGGCTCCGTCTAACATACTTTGGACATGTTGTGAGGAGAGACCAGTCCTTGGAAAAGGACATCATGCTTGGGAGGGTGGAGGGACGGCGCAGGAGGGGAAGGCCCTCTATGAGGTGGATTGATTCAGTGACTGGGATAATCGGGATGGGAGTGTCGGAGATGGTGCAATTGGCACAGGACAGTGGAGTTTAGTGCTGTTGTACATAGGGTCGCTATGAGTCGCAAGCAACTCGATGGAACATAACAACAACAACATATATAGTGCCTATGCAGACCTGGACTGATGACACTTTACATGGCAAATCTCATGGCAGCAGGTTTTAAGTGTCTTTCAGAAAGTCCATGCGTAGCAAGTATCTCAGAGCTCCCTTTCTCCTGTTGAGAAAATGCATCCCCTTCCGCTGGCCTCCTCCTCCCCTCCCCTCCCTGCCAGTCTCTGGTGCACTATTGGCCAGAATCTCTCAGTACTTGTCTAACAAGTCTTTTCTTTCTTCCCACTGCAACTGGATCTTAATATTTTGTCAGTTTCAAAAGACCACCTTACTCATCTTCAGCACAGATTGAAAGTTAGACATCACATCGTTCTGATCTCCACCTGTGCCCGTCTTTGTATTTCCTGAAGGGCTTTCACATTGCTGTTTGTCCCAATACATTTTCCTCTTTGTGTAATATATTCGAAGTCTTGGTTTATGCCTCTTGTCTTAGAGGGACTATTAACTGCTCCTCTTATGCTTTCAAACGTGCTGCCATCTGGTCAGTGAAGTATATAATCACTGTAAGGTTTGTGACTGGCCATTGCACTAGAATCAGGTTTTTCAACAGCAGTGCTGTTAACATCTTTGGCTGGCTAATTCTGAGTTATTGGTGTTGGGGAGGGGCTGTCAGCTAGACACCAGTAGCATCATGCCAATCAAAAATGCCTCTAGAGGTAGGTGGGGAGAAAAGTACAACAATGAATGAATGGAAATCCAAAATCTCTGTAAATGTTCATTGAAATGAATAAAAAAAAGGGGGGGGAAATGCCTCTAGAAATTGCCAGACGTCCTGAAGGAGCAAAATCAGCCCGTTACCCTGTCATAGAGACCTTGTAAAACAGGCTGTAAATGCCCCATCAGTTTCCCAGGCTGGAATCTTTAAAACAGACTGCCATGTCTTCCTCTTAGTGTGGCTGGTGGGTCCAAGCTAACTGGACATCTTCAAGGCAAAGTAACTCCTAATGAAGAACCACTGTTGTAGCAATGCATTCTTCATAGAAGGATGATATTTTTGTATGAACATTATGCCCGCCTAGTAGTCCTCCCTTATCCACAAGGAATATGTTCCAAGACCCTCAATAGATGTCTAAAACCATTGATAGTACTGGATCTTACATATAATGTGCTATGCTTTTCCCTATACATCCCTACTGATAAAGTGTAAGTTCTAAATTAGACACAGTAAGATATTATTAATAATAATAACAACTAATAGCAAAATGTTATTGTTGTTGTTGTGTACCATCAAGTCAGAACTCACCCATCACTGATCCTCCAGCGGGTTTTCAGAGGCAGTCAGTCACACGGGAGGAGACTGCTCATCCGTCTCCCATGGAGCTGGTGGATTTGAACCACATGCCTTTGGGATAGAAGCACAGCTTCTTATCACTGAACACAAGCACTGATATACCCTTAAGTGTCAAACAAGTGGGTAGAGTACACAGCAGTGATATGCTGGTCAAAAGAGTGACTCTCATCCCAGGCTGAATGGGCTGCTCAAGATGCATTGTTTATTTCTGGAATTTTCTATATACTATTTTATGACTATGGTAACTGAATCCATGGATTGGGGGGGACGGACTACTGTACTAACAGAATAGATTGTTTCCTTTTAAAGATGTGTCCATTGCCAATTATGGAGGATATTCTATTGATAATATCAATTTTGATAGGAAGAACATCCTGCAGCCTTTCTCCAGATATACACAATTGTGTTAAAAATTGATTTATGCATCTCTCTTTATTCCCCAAGTGCTTCCACATACCCTGCACAGTGGAAAACTTCCCCATGAAAGAACGCACTGATGAGGAGCTGAAGGAACTGGAGAGTGTTATGTGCCAAAAGAAGATTGAAGCGGAGTGTTTGAAAGTATAATTTTCAATTTCTTTATTTTTGCATAAATCATGCATTTTACTTCAGGGTCTCCAATAGTGATTTGAGTTGGAATATAGTTTAAGATTCATTTTATTTATTTAAGATTAAATTTATTTATTTAAGATATCATTTATGTCCCTGTTTTCACTCTTAGTTGATTTGTAGAATGTGTTCTAGTGACTATTCTGTATACATATGCTAAGTCGGGGAAACTTCATCCTCTGTAACACTAGTGAGTCTTCAAATAGGAGAATACACCAGAAAAAGGAAATCGGCAGATTTTTTCCCCTCCCATATCCTGTTCTGAGGTTATTGTCATCCACTCATACCATGTTCATCCTGCCTTCTCACCGGAGATCACATTTTAAGGGAGCTTAATAAGGATGGAATAAAATGTTTTTATGGTGTTAAAGTTTCTCATACAGCAGCCCTGCCATCGTTCGCACCAGTCTCCCTCTAGCCACAAAAATCTCTCTGATGTGGTTCTGTTTCAGCCAGAACTTTACGGCTCCTCTTTTTCAAAATACACAAAGAAGGCATATTGAGCTCTTTTTAACTCCCACCAGCCAGGCCTACGTGAACTAGCTGCTTTGTAAAGTATAAGAAAAAGACACCTTTCTTTTTTGGTGGTTGTAACTTGAGTGAAAGTTTACAAGGTCAGTGAATTTTTCACTCAACTGTTTGTTCACATTTTGTTCTATAATTTGAACACCCACAGTGTAATCACTTTTCCACATCCTCCCTGTCATTCTGATTTCTATCCATCTTGTTGTACCTTACAGTAAGCTGATGCTCTAGCAGGTTTTCAGAGGCTGTAAATTGCTGGAGAGGAGGTTGTCTTCTCTCTTGTGCAGAGAAACAGGTGGTTTCGTCTGCATCCCTTTGAGCTGACGGCACGTTCTTCGCCCACTGAGCTGCCAGAGCACCCTATTCAGCCAGTCTGTTCAGAATATATGTACTATGGTTTCCTCTTCCTTCCTCCATACTATTACAGATAGCTTGTTGTTGTTATGTGCCGTCGAGTCATTTGCGGCTCATTGCGACCCTATGTACAACAGCCCTAAACCCTGCTCTATCCTGTGCCAATCGCATTGCCTCTGACACACCCATCCCGATTACCCCAGTCACTGAATCAATCCACCTCATAGAGGGTCTTCCCCTCTTGCGCTGTCCCTCTACTCTACCCAGCATGATGTCCCTCTCCAAGGACATAGCTACCTTGTCAATAATTTCCAAACTCAGTATCTTGCTACTTTGTTTTCTTTCCATTTCATGGCCTTTGCAATGTATTCCTAATACTGGGATTGCTGGATCAAATACTATTTCTACTCTGGACTTTCTAAGGAAGTGCCAAACTGCTTTCCACAATGGCTGCCCCATTTTACATGGTCATCATTAGCATATGAGAACCTCAGTCTCTCCACCCCCTCCATAGCGCTTGTTGTCTTCTGTCTTGCTGAACTTTGCGATTATTCCTGGAGTGAGATGGTATTGAGGGTTTGTTGGTATCAATGAAGCAATCACACTAATGCGCATGTACTTAATTCAATCATTAAGCGTTCCATTGTGTATTGACCCTCTCACAGGTTTCTGAGGGTCAATGGATATTGACCCTCTTCCAGGTTTCTGAAGGTTCCAGTGTGTATTGACCCTCTCCCAGGTTTCTGAAGCCGTGAATCTCTGTGGAAGAACACTGCCCATCTGCCATTAGAACCCCTTTTAATGCTCAACAGCAACTCATTATCATTGAGTTGAGACCAACTCATAACAGACCTGTTGATTTTCCAAGGCTGCAAAATGTATTGGAGAGATTGCCTATCTTTTGCCCTTGAAATGACTCATAGATTTGAACCATGAAAGAGAGTGACTGCATTTGGGTTACAGCATAAGTGCATTGCCCTATAACTATGCCACCAGGATCCCCTTTTAATGCTTCTTGTTCTTGTTGTTGTCATGTGTCATTGAGTCAGAACTAACAAAGTTGACCCTTTAGCAGATTTTCAAAGGCCAGAAATCACTTGTGAGAAGAATGCGCATCTGCCTCCCATGGTAGATTCGAACCAGGTGCCTCTGGGTTGGCAACGCAACTCCTTACTACTAAACCATCAAAGCTCAGCTAGCAAGAAAGACTAAAAATACTTGAAAGCAGGTGTGACACATTTTCTGACATAAAAAATACACATATTCTATACTGTTGTTGTTGTTGTTGTTACATGCCATCGAGTCGTAGATGACTCATAGTGACCCTATGAATGAAAGACGTGAACACTTGTATAACTTCCATCCTTTCTCTAAGTTTATAGAGTTTCTGGAGGCAAGCTATTTCAGAAGTGAATGCCACTCCTGATTCCAAGCTTGTTTTAATTGGGGAGCTCCACTAAACACTGTCCACCATGGGTAACCATTATTGTATCTCATAAGGACAGTTTTGACTCTCTTGATCTATTCAGAGTTTCTCCATTTCAGAAGCTTTAGTCTTTTCTAGGATAGTTTCAAGATCAATCCATCACATGCATTTCTGTACCTGGCAAGAGAATTTAACATCTTAAAAATTATTATTGTTGAAATTGTTCGTGTGTCAGGGGGGAAACAGTCCTTTAGAGAATTCTTATTATTTAATAACTTCCATGTCATCTTTGTCCTCTAGATAAGGAAGGAGGTTGTAGAAGTTCAGGCTACAGTTTCTGTAAATAAAAAACATGAAGAAGATGAAGAAGAGGAAGATGAAAATGTAGGAGTAAAAGATACCAGCTTGCCCAATTACCTGCTTGGCAGTCTCAGTACTGATTTTGGAGTGGATACCTCTCTCTTGTCGGACCAGTTGGCACTTCATACGAGACAGGAGAAAATCAACCAAATTATATTACTGAAGGTGGGTCTGTTTATTCTCAGAAGTCTTTCAAACTCCCCCATGAGATGTTTTCAAGGGCTCGTGCTAAAGTCTAATGTCAAACAAATGCTAACTTTTAAGTACATGGAAGAAGATACAGAGAACTACTGTATATGTTGTTGAAACATATACAAAAGTTGCTGCTATCCATTAGGAGTGGACTTTATTATACCAAGGCTGCTAAATAACGTCTTACACAGATTGGCACGATAAACCACTATTCTTCTGCATTGATCTTCAGTAAGTCCAAAATTAAAGAAATTCTATACCACCTTCTGAGTAACTCAGATATCTAGTCAATTTCCCAGTGTTAAAGATGTGATTGCTGTCTCTCCCCTTTATCTGAAGAAATCCAATTTCTTCTTGAAAAGTTCTATACATTCTGGGGATGAAGGATAATGCCCTTTGGTTCTGAGTTCCTACTCCTTTCTTCCCACCAAGCAAATTAGTCTCAGGGTGTGTCTGGAGACATGGAAGATCCTACTGGAAGTTTTTTGCAAATACAAGGACTGAGATCGCATCAATGCAGATCTTTTGATATGTAACAGTGGGCTTTTCAGGGCCTAACAGGCCTCCAGCCACATCTGCAGTTTTGTTCTAGCCTCTTGCCACGTTGCTCGGCAGTCTCTCTTCCTGGCCTCCTCTGTTGTTCTGCTCCAAACTCTGGAGTCAACTGTTCAATTACACTCAGAATATCCATACTCAGAAGTCATCTTTTGTTGCCCAATTGGCCCATGTCCTCCGGGTCTCGCTTTCTGGCTGCTTTATTTAAGTATGTTTTTATGCAAAGGTGCTGTCCAGCCAAAGAGAAATTCTGGCATTTGAGGTCATTTTCCTCATGCTACTTCAGTAGCTTCATCCATGCCAGGATAATATGTAATCTGAACTCTGAAGGTAAAATAAAGCCTATTTTGAGTTGACCCAAGGGAACTATGGTGGCTTAATGGATAAGGAATTGTACTACCAACCCAAAGACAACAAATCCACCAACTGCTGCACCAAGGGAGAAGGATGGACAATCTCTTCCCATGCAATTTATAGTCTCCGAGAACATGCTAGAGGGTCCACAATGAGTTGGACTTGATAAAAATGAACTTGAGCTTAAGCTTGAGTTGACCCATTGCTCTACTTGTCAGCAGTGGCAGGGGCAGTCCTGCTGGCCTTCCTGTCATTTTAGGAACTAGCTTAGGTTCTCCTACTCCTTGAGAATGGCCTATCCATATAGAGGACATTTGTGCTGTGTTTTTCTAAAAGATTCTCCAAACAGCCTTTAAGACTATCTCCTCCTCTCCACATCTCTCCCAGATTAGATTCCAAACAAAAGAGCTTTCATCATTTAAATCCTCCATATGCTTTTAAAATACTTTATGAAGGATTGAAAAAAACATACAAAAGGAGGGAATCTAACCCAATACATCCCCTAAGTATCTATCACCAAGTCTCAATACTTAACAACATAAGTATCTATTGAGTTGTAGGGAACGTTTCAGGAAGTAGATCATGGTATAGCAGTTGCTCTGTTGCCTTAATCCTACCTCTGGTCAAATGACACTAAGTTGATGAGCTAAAATAAAAAGAAAGAAATATTTAATATAAATTTTTAAAAAAGATGTAATTGTGACCTCCTTTCTGTAACTTATTGATGTTTCAGGATATCATCTACAAGGTCAAAACTGTTTTTAATAATGAGTTTAATGCTGCATATAAGCAAAAGGAGTTTGAAATTGCACGTGTGAGGGACAGGAATGTAAGACTTCAGGAAATTATCTCAGATCTGCAGGTGGAAGAAACAGTCTGGCAACCAGAATTTGAAGACTGTGAGAAGCCAGAGAGAACCCTGGAGGTGGACAATGAAGAGGTACTGGCTGGGTGGACCATCCCCTCTCTCCTTCCTCAGCACGATGTGCTAACGTCTTGTTTATTCTTCTTCCTGTTTCCCTCCTGGAAGTTCTTATATGAGGTTACACTCTTGGCTACAAGCAATGAAAACAGCTGCTATAGCCTCAGCAAGAGGACATTACTTTTAGGAATCCCATGCCATGTATTTGTATTGATTCAGTGACTGGGGTAATCAGGATGGGTGTGTCAGAGGCAATGAGATTGGCACAGGATAGAGCGCGGTTTAGGGCTGTTGTGCATACGGTCGCTATGAGTCGCAAACGACTCGACGGCACATAACAACCATGTATTTGAGGGGAGAGACAGAGCCTAACGAGATGAGGAAGCAAAGGCTACAACTGGTGGGGAGTCCAGATGTCCTCTTTCTTCGTCTCTTAGGCCCTTTGCTCTGCATTTCAGTTTCCTCTAGCAGTTTCTACTTTATATCTCCGTCACTCAAGAGAATAGCTGGCCTGAACTAGAAATTCTTAGTCCTGACCTGGGAAGGGACTCCTGGTCCAGCTTGAGTCCAGGCCTGTGTGCGCAGCTGGGTGGGTCACATTGTGGAAATGATGCAGATGGAACTCCAGTAATTATCTAGACCATTAGGGTAAGGTGGTTCCCAAAGAAAGGGGCCTTGCTGGGTAGTCTGGTTAAGATGTTTGGTACAGAGGTGATTGTGAATGAATCCTTAAAGAAAGCAATTGGAATACAGCTGTATTTCTTCCTTCCTTCCTTCCTTTTTTTTTTTTAGTTCTCAGAAACTACTCAGAGAAACCCCTTGCTCATGCAAAACCAACTTGATTACTTAGGTGCAAAAGAGAATAGCAGTGTTTAGAAGGCACCTAGTTCTTAGTAGATGCAGACACGTATATGGAAATTCATTTGTAATGATGAAACCTGGCCTGGGAGGAAAGTGAGCTCTGGTGGCCTAGTGGCAAGGAGCTGCATTGCAATCCTGAAGGTACGGGTTTCGAGTCCACCAGGTACTCTGCAGGAAAAGGATCAGCAGTCTCTTCCCGTGCAATTAACTGCCTCTGACAACTCGCTGGAGGGTCAGCTATGGGTTGGTTCTCACTGGTACACAACAACAACAACATGAGGAAAGTGAGGCATCGGCAGGTTAGGTAGTGTAACCACTGTTAAAAAGCTAGTAAGTGACAGAGCTGGGCATTAAGCCCAGGCTGCCATGTTTCCCAGTCCATCTGGCTAAACTCTCACTCCACTTTTTTGAGCAAGTTTTTTTCCCCTGAGGCAGATTCTTGTCATGTGACCTGAGACAGGAGCACAGGACAGCATAGAGCACTCCCTGCCCCACTTGAGAGGTTCCCACTCTGCATAATCATGTCGTGAATGTGTAATTAACTCCACTACGGTGGCTTTTTTATTTATTCCACCCTGTTCTGCACTCATGACAGTGATCTTGTCACAAGGGATGTCTTAACCCCTCTCCAGTTTAAACCCCTGGACTTGGCTGTTCCTTTTGGTTATAATCACCCCCAAACCTGTCCCTGGGTACCCACGTCATCCCCTTACTTTGTCAGCCCTTCTCCGCACCTTGCCTCATCCTGCTCCATTTGCATTCTCACAATTCCTTGAATGCCCCAAGCTTTGACCTCTCAGGAACTCCACCCTCCAGGATTTGGCTTAAATGACACTTTGTTAACTGCTCACTCCCCCTAAATCTAAAGCAGCTTCTTTGTGATGATGTTTCAGTGACAAGGCATGAGGTTAGAGCTAATAAGGACATAAACGCCCTTCCCAACCCTCTCCTTTTTGTTGATGTCGCCATCCCCACATAGAAAATGTATTGCAAAATCTGAGAAGTCCCTTTCCTCTCTTTACTCCCTTCCAGCCTTCTCCCAGGGTGTGGAAAGAAAGTTTGAATTCTCTAAGAGTAATAGCAGAAGGGATTGCATAGCAATGGAAGAGTTTTTCTTTTAATCAAGGAGAAAAGTGAATTGGGGGGCAGGGAGTGGCCAGGGAGAAAAGTGCAACAACGAATGACTGGAAGTCTCTGTAAACTTTCATTAAAATTAATTTTTTTTTAAAAAAAAGTACTCAATGGATGATATTATATAATCAACATAATAATTAAATATAGTGTTCTGTACAAAAAAAAGAGTAATAGCAGAAAGCTATACTGTCTTTTTCAGATTTTAGTGAGCAAGTATGTAAGACCATGGAGAAAGGCCAAAGAGAAACTGGTTATGTCCCACAAAACGGAGCAGTGGCTCACCTTTCAGGTATGCTGTGTTGCTCAAACAAAGCCCGAGACCTTTCCCTAATGGAATACTTTTATACTTGGATTCCATCATAGAAACATATCAAGTGTTTCCCATGTGCACTTGGCTCTTAGTTTGTCTCCCTCCCCTCACTCCACAATGCCAGTGCTCACCCTGCCCCAGTCCTAAGGGCCACCTTCTAACGTTGGATTGGGCTGCTTCCACTGGTACCGCTGAGTATCGGGCCTCTGCCTTAGCTGCCTCTGTGGCCCTGGATCTTCCCTAGAACTCCAACATAAGACAACGAGCCCTGATGGACATGATGGGAGGTGTTCTGGAAGTCAAGAAGGAAGATATCTTAAGAATGGTGAGATTTCTGGCCATCCTTGGAGAGAGGTGGAAAGGGGTAGGAAGAGGTACTTAAATTGTGCCATGATTTATTTTTTTTAAGGAACTTGAGTTCTAAATACTTTTGTTGTTGTTGTTATGTGCAGTTGAGTTGACTACAACTCATAGCGACCCGACGCACAGAGCCGTGCTCTATCCTGAGCCAGTCTCATTGTCTCTAACACACCTACCCTCATCACCCCTGTTACTGTGTCAGTCCATCGCATCCGGGGTCTTCCTCTCCTTTGCTGTCCCTTGACCTTTCCAAGCACGATACCCTTCTCCAAAGACTGGTCCCTCCTGGCTTCATGCCCAAAGTATACAGGAACAAATACTACACAACCTCTTAGTAATTTTTAAACATTATCATGTGAGGCAAATTAGAACGTACCAATATCCAGTCTGATCAAAAATAAAAAACCATGATCTCTGCAGAAGGCAGGAATAATGCTATCATTCTCTTCATTTACCAAGAAACTGAGTATTTCTGTTTTTCTTAGTTTGAGTTCTTTATTTTTAATCTGATTTGATGTTTCAGAAGTACGGGCGTGGTTCTACCTACAGAGATAACAACACATACCTTTGAGTTTGTCATCTAACTGGCTGAGTCCCAACTTCTCAAGTCACAGAAAAGTACTTTTACATCCTGGTTGAAGTGGTGTGTCTTGTCAATGTAAAGAATTCTGCTCTATTAAAGGACTTTAAAAAAAAAGTACTAATTCTGCGCTTTCACTGTACAGCTACAAGTATGTTTAAACCAGAGTGTAAGCGTTCGTTTCTATCTTTAGGTGATTCCTCAACCTGCTTTCATGGCGAAACCTGATGCTTTATGGTCTGAAGAAGAAAGGAAACAATTCAGAGACTATGAAAAGAAAGTCAAGGAGTTAAATGAAGAGAGAGATAAGTATAGAAAGGTGAGAGGAGCAAAGAGTTCATCTTCTGCCCTATCCAAGAGAGATCTCAATATACCTCTGCATCTGTATTTAGTTTTTCAGCTTAATTTCTCAAGGGAAAGTACTACTGTATTTGAAGAAGTGGGTGCAGGTAAGTTTAAAAGACTTAGAATGATTTAAAATAAAAATATTATATAGCAATGCTTTTTTTAAAAAAGGAAGTGTTAATTTCAACATTTTCAATACTGTTAGAATTTATTGGTTCCTTTGTTCATTCTTCCATGTTGAATGGGTACCTGTTACAGGATGTGCAAGCTCTTCAAAGTATAACCCTAATCGTCTGTATTCATGTGGGTTAGGTATGCTTTTGCTTGATTTATTCGCAATTGCCAGGAGAAAGGATGTGACAGAGAAGGGACACAATTCCCTTCAGCAGCTTATATAACTTTATAGTTTCAGTTTGAGGTTTTGGATCTCCACTGTGCAAAACTACATCCATCCCTCTGCTACCCAGCATCATTGCCCCAGCTCTACCTCTCTCATCTTCCTGCATCATCAGTCTTTTGCTTTCTACTGGATGACTCCAGTCAGCATAGATACATCCTGTAATACCTTTAAATTTATTTTTCTTTTTTAAAAAATAATTCCTTGAGGGAGATAAAGACATTGTTAAATCCACAGTCCACCGCCATCTAATCAGTTCTAACTCAAAGCAACTGAAGGACACAGGAGAGCTGCCCCCTCAGGTTTCTGAGGTTGTAGACCTTGTAGAAGCCGACTGCCTTCTCTTTCACCCTCTTCAGGACAGACCTGCTTGTTCCCTTAGTAGTCCATAGTGTATTCAATACTCTTCTCCAGCACCACAGCTCAAAGGCATTGATTCTTCTAACATTAGCAGAATGTGATGCTTCTAAACATTCATTTACTGTTGGTTTCCTCTCAGTCATTAGAGGCAGAAATGAAGAAACTTCAAAACAGTATTCTAGAAAGTACCCAGGCCTTTGATGAACATTTGAAAAGACTCTTTAGCAGAAGAATGAAGGCAGAGATGGTTGTCAACCAGGTAAATAAAAGCTTTGCTTATGTTTCTCTTTTTTTTTTTTTTTCTTTGAAGGAGACTCCAGGTCCTTCTGTTGTCCTTAGGATAAAGGGCAACACTCTTAACAGTTGTGGGGGCCTCTGACCTCATGCTGTGCCCCCCCCCCCCCGTTCCACCAGCCTCAGTCCTTGTCCAGCACCTGAAACATTCAGTGTGCTGCGTCCTCGGGTCTCTGTCCTTCCTTGCCTCCAGCCTTTATCCGCTCATTCAACTCATTCATCCTTTGGTTCCCAGTTAAAATCTTGAACAAAGTTAGATGTTCCTACTATATACTCTTCTTTTCCTTTCAGTCTCTTGTTTTATTTTTTATCTGCAACTTATTTTAGTTCATAGGAGATTATCTTTTACTGTTTCCGAGACTGTAAACTCATGAGGATAGAGATTGTTGTTGTTGTTGTTATTTGTCATCAAGTCAACCATGACTCATGGTAACCCTATAAACAACAGACCCGAACCTACTTGCTCATCTCGGGCCGTCCTGCCCATCTCCTGTGTGTTTAAGCCTATGTTACAGTCACCATGTCAGTCCATCTTGTTGAAGGTTTTCCTCTCCTACATTGACCCTCCAGCTTTCCCAGCATGCTGTCCTTCTCTAAGGACTGACCCCTCCTAACAATATGCCCACAGTATATGAGGTGAGGCTTTATCGTCCTGCTTCCAAGGAGCTCCCTGGTCACACTTTCTCCAGGACAGACTGTCTTCCACATCCCTGTATGCTAGCATTTGGCAAAGGACTTGGCTTATAATATGTGTTGAATGAGGGAATAAGCTTCATGTTCCAAAGATTTAGATGAAAGGCATGCTTTCATTCCATCCAGTGGCAGGGATACAGATGAAGTATACAGCAACTCTAGAAGCCAAACCCAAGGAGTGGTTTAAAGACTAAGGTGCACCTGAACTGAGCTGTGGTATTTTCCATTACTTCCTGTACATCTGAAAATCAGGCAATGAATAAAGAAGACCAGAGAAGGATCAATGTCTTTGAACTGTGGTGCTGGTGAAGAGTTTTGAATAGGAACTGCCAAAGGAATGAACAACTCTGTCTTGGACGAAGTAGAGCCGGATACTCCTTCGATCCAAGGATGGTTGACAACCTTTATGTGACGTAACTTTGGCATGTTATGAGGAGGGGATAGTCCTTGGAAAAAGACATCATGCTGGAAAGGTAGAGAGTCAGCAAAAACCAGGATGTCTCTCAACAATATGGACTGATGCAAGGACTACAACAATGGGCTTGAGCATGTTGGAGTTTGTGAAGAGGGTACAAGGTTCTGACTGTTGTTCGAGGGTTGCTATGAGTTGTAGTCAGCTTGCAGGCTTGGTGGTGAGTTGTGCTGCCAACACAAAGGCAAGTGGTTCAAATCCACCAGTTGCTTGATGAAAGAAAGATGGGCAATTTCCTCCCAAACAATTTACTACTCCTGAAAACCCGCTACAGGGTCAGCTATGAATCGACTCTGACTTGACAGTGCATAACAACAACAACAACAACAACAACCTATACCCCAGAGAGGAGTCCTGGTGACTCGGTGGTTTAAGTACTTCATTCTAACCAGAAAGAGAGCTTGGATCACCAGCTACTCCAAGGGAGAAAGTGTGCAGCATTTTGCTTTTGTGAAGATTATTGTTGTTAAGTGCATCGAGCCTCAGAAACCTTGTAGGGAGGCTCCACTTTGTCCTCTACGGGAGGACTGTGAAATGACTCTAACTCACTCCAATGGGTTAGCTTTGAGTTTAGGAGTTCTTTTAAGGGGTTGAGGAGAGGGAGTTTGTATGACCCAGCAATTCCACTTCCAGTAGCTCCAGCCAGCAGAGATGAAAATGTATTTTTTGCAAGAACTTGTACAAGATTTTTTGTAGCAAAATTAATCATAATAGACACAATCCAATACACATAATATTTGCTAAATGGACAATAAAATCTGGATTTTATATACCACAGAATGTGGTTTTGTTGATTGCCTTCAAGTCGAGCACTTCTCATAGCAACCCTATGAACAAAAGACCTGAAGCCCCTCTACAACTATCAACATTTATCAAAGTTCATAGAGTTTCTGGAGGCATGTTGTTTTAGGAAGTGGATGCCACTCCTGCTTCCAAACCTGTCGTGGTATGTTAATTACTGTTATGTGCCATTGAGTCACCTGCGATGTATAGCAACCCTATGTACAGCAGCTCTGAATACTTCCCTGTCCTGAGCCAGTACCAGTACTGATTATTAAGCTATAAAAAGACATGGCATTCTGATGCAGACTACACCATGGAAGGACCCTTGAGGACATTATGCTCATTGAGAAAAGTTTGTTACAAAATGCAACTTCATGTGTGATTCCATCTATCTTAGTGTCCAGAGAGGTATGTAGGACATAGAAAGGAGACCCTTGATTGTTTGGGGAGGGAGTTAAGAGGAAGTGGAGACAGACTGCGAGGAGGTTTCTTTTTTAAAATTTCTAAAACTGATGGTGGAAGTACAGTGTGTGACTGTACTAAAAAGCATTGGATTTTACACTTGAAATGGTTGAATTGTATCATCTGTGAATCATACCTTTATAAAGCTATTTAAAAATAGAAGATGAGCTAGGAACATCTTGCCATACAAGATAATAAGAAACCTGGCAAATACTACTGTGTGTGTCCCGCTGAGTCAGAACTGACTCATAACTGACCGTTCAGCAGCTTTTCAGAGTGGTAACTCGCACACGAGGAGGTTGCTCATCTTTCTCCATGGAAGCAACTGGTGGGTTCGAATCGCACGCCTTTGGGTTGGCAGTGCAACTCCTTACAGCTAAACCACCAGTCAAATATTGCTAGGATACATCAGAAAAGAGTCAGGAACCAACAGATGGCTGGCTTTTAGGAATTCCCTCAGCAAGCCTTTCTTCTCAGATGCGTCTGGGGAGATTTGAACCTCTAATGTTTCAGTTAACTGCCTACACTACTCAGGGCCTCTCAACATATTCATGCTCTCCTGAATGGGACAATGGGAGTTTCAGAATGGATGTTGTTGTTGTTATGTGTCATCACGTCACCTGTGATACTTAGCAACCCCTATGTACAACAGCTCTGAACCTTACCTTACCCTGAGCCAATCTCACTGACTCCAACACATCTAATCCCATTACCCCAGTTATCCTGTCAATCCATGTCATCCGGGGTCTTCCTCTCCTGCACTATCCCTGCCACCCTTCCAAGCATGGTGTCCTTCTCCAAGGACCGGTTCATCAAGGCCACATGACCAAAGTATGTGAGACAGAGCTTCAAAATCCTTGCCTCCAAGGAAAAACTTGATTTCACTCTCTCCAAGGCAGATCTATTTGTTCTTTGGCTGTTTGTGGTATGTTTAATATTATTCTCCAGCACCACAACTCAAAGTCATCAATTCTTCTTCTGTCATCCTTAGTCATTGTCCAGCTCTCTGATGCATCACTGCGAAGACCATGGCCTGAATTAGGCAGATTTAAACTGACATCATTGCTCCTCAGTACTCTGGAGAGGTCCCTGACAATGGACAATGATAATTAATTGAAACTTACCAAGTCTACTTCAATTCATTAATATATAATGACATTTTAAAGGGCACTAAACCTAATTGATCCCCTTCAGAGGGTAGTAGAGAACCATTTCATTACCTTGAAAATGGGAAAAAAATATCAAGTGTTTACTGTGCTTTTCCTATATGAAATGTATCACTGGGTAATAAATATATAAGGAGAAATGTCTCTTTATAGAATTATTTCCGTTAATAAGTTAAAAAAGGAATAATACCTTATCATCCCTGTGCCCCTCTGAGGGAGTGCTGGAGTCTTAGTGGCAAGGAGCTGCGCTGTCCATCCAAAGACACACAATTGGAATCCACCAGCTGCTCTACAGGAGAAAGATGAGAAGTCTCCTCTCGTACAATGCTCTGCCTCTGAAAACCCACTGGAGGATCCACTATGAATCGGTTCTGACTCGAAGGTGCAGAGCAACCACGTGTGCACCTCTTAATGGATTAATTGACCTGGGCATGGAGCATTCACAGCTGTTAACATCATCAAACAAAAGTCAACCAGACATCTGCCTCCTCATCAGAGAACGCCCACGGTCTGCCCAAAAGGCTCAAGCATGGGTCTGATCGGGTGTCTGCATCCAACTCAATGTCAGAACTACTGAGGAACCTGAAGATTGAGCTACTCTGGGAGAATGTAGTCAGTAAAACCCAGGTCAAGTCAAGCAACAAAAATAGAATTGCTGATATGTTGGGGGTGCGGGTGGAGGGTAGGGATGAAGTAGAACCTGTAGATGAGTGACTTGTTAAGTCATGACAATATATTTTAATGGAATAGCTAGGCAGTAGTGGCTAAGGATACACTCTCGGGTAATAAGACTACATAGAAACACAGAAAAACATTCTAAAAACCAGAAGAGTGGTTACTATTGTGGTTGAGATTAGAATGGGACACATAGAAGTTTATTTCTATTGGTGACAAAATTCTAATTCTTTAATTGTGTGGTAGTTACAAAGATGTTCACCTTTATAAAATCTCATATTTTATGCATTGTTCTATATCTGTATTTTGTCTTACAATGGAAAGGTAAAAATGGGGAAGCTATCTGACTATGCAAAAGTCTGTATTTCTTTTTTCTCTAAAATAAATTTTCCTTACTTTGATGTTGTAGACTCCCTTGATTAGCGCCAGATTGCTGACTCTGAATTTAAAAAAACAAAACAAAACTTTTTTCAGGAATACTGATTTTTTTTTTATTTCGTTCAAAATTATTTCTACAGGAAGAACTGAAAATAAATAACCTTCTTTTCTCATTACTGTTGGATGAAGAATTAAGCACCAGAGAACTGTGCCTGAACAACTATCTTGCGAGGAAGCAGGAGGAAAAAGTAAGTATAGGATCAGATATCTGAGTACATGTTCTGACAGAGACAGTCCTTGTTTATCAGCTCATTCACCCTTGACCCTTCCTTCCTCCCACGGTTCCTGTTAAATCCTGGATTTCCCTTGAGTTTTTGCTCAAGAGCCAGTTTTACTAAGTCTGAAAACAAGGGCAGTGAATGGGTTAGCTTACAAAATTAAAAACGTTGCCGTAAGCAGAAAAAGTCTATCCTAATATGAGCATGAAAGATAGAATTCAATAAAGGGACAGTGAATGAATGTTTGTCATGTAGTACATTTCAACAGACGTCAGCATTTAATAGCAGTACAAATAAAGGTCATGTGTGAATGTGTTAATGGTATTTGCATATATGACATATGTTACACACTTAATCGTTGCTAAGAATCTTTTAAGACCTCTGTTGTTTTTGTTATTGGGTACCTTCGAGCCAGAACCAACCCCATAGCTGACCCCCCAGTGGGTTATCAGAGACAGTTAATCACATAGGGGGAGATTGTCAATCTTTCTTCCACAGATCAGCTGGTGGATTTGAACCACGTGCCTTAGAGATTGCAGCTCAGCTTCTTACCACTAGGCCACTAGAGCTCCCTCTGGACGGGGAGGCTCCCTCTAGACGGGGAGGCTCCCTCTAGAGAGAGCTCTGAGGGTCTAGTGGATAAGGAGGTGAACTGCCAACCCAGAGACAGGTGTCTTGGATCCACCAGCTTCTCTGCAGGAGACAGATGAACCCTCTTCTCTCAGGTAATTTACAGGCTAGAAGGGTCAGCTCTGAGTCGGTGACCCTGAGTTGGTCCTGACTCAATGGCAATGAGTTTTGAGTTTTGAGTGAGTGGAGAAGCTATTCTACTTAGTCCGATAGGATCATTATGAATCCGAATTCAGATTCAGGACTGGAGGACAGTGGGCTGGGTTGGCTTTTAAGAGTCTGTTAAACAGCTTCTCCCAAGCCTGCTACCATTGAGGCCGCTCTTGAGAGGCCCTGTGGGACAGAGCACATCTGCCCCAGGGGGTGTCCAAGGCCGCAACCTTTACAGGAACAGACGGCCTCATCTTTCAATCAGAGAGCAGCTGGTGGGTAATAGCCACTGAACGTTTGCTTAGGAACCGAACACTTAACTCATCGTGCCACCAGAGCTCCTTAGTGTGTGCCAGCATCTCCTCAAAGAATAAATCAGTATAAAATAAAACTCTGCTTGTAAAATCATGCAGAGTATTAGGTGTCTCCCACAGATGAAGAGGCTGTCCTACAGAGGATGGGTAATGTGCCCCTTTAAATGTAGCCACCATGTAGGGATTGGAACTGGAAATAAACAAAGATCATCCAAGTGGGAATAAACCAAGGTCGTTTATTCAGAACTGGCCATAGGGCAAAGAAGTGGGCATCGTCCCCTGCATCATCCCCTGAGAGGCAGAGATGGGCAAGGAAATGGGAGGTTTTATGAGGAAGTGGGGAAGGTGTGGAGAGAGAAGTCTTCAGGAACACTGTGGTTGGTGGCCATTGGGATGGAGGACGTGGAGGAGGGTTAACTAGAATTGAAGGATCCTGTGGGATCAGGTTGGCCAGTGTGTATGGCCTTGCCGGGGTGATGATGAGTTGGAAGCAGTGGGGAGAATTTAGGAAGCTGGTCATTATTGACTGACTCCTGACTGACCGAGGCTGATTTCTTCCAAGGTTGAGGTTTGTCTTTCCAGAGTGGTGGCTACAGAGGTTTTAGGTTAGAATCCAGTTTTCATATGTGATCTGACTGTTACATAAAGTCAATGTGAACATACCTCCCAGGTTCTAAAACCCAAGTCTGTGGGTCTCCCAAGTGGGAGTGTTTTCATCATGCCACATTGCTCTACCAGGGATGTGACATGATCCATCGACAGAATGTCAGGTGCAGAGCCATTACACCTAGAAACAGGTGAGTGGATGCATGACCTTTCCCCACTTGGTTAACTTCCATAGAGAAATGTTATCTGCAGTAGGTACTTCACAGACATATGTATCTTGAGCTAGGAAATGTTCTTTCTGGCATCCCCAATACTTCTAGTTATCCTTAAAAAGAGGTCTCTAAGTGCAATCAGCTATTCCTTATGCTCTTGTAGGTCCAGACCACAGAGGCTATCAAGAAAGCCAAGGAAGAGCTTGACATTTACAAGGAGCACTATGACAACTTACTGGCAGAAGACAAAGTGAGTCACCTCTTACTCACTCAGGGCATTCAAATTCTTGCTGCCTTGAAGATAAAAGAGCTATCATTTTATTTCCTCCTAGCTTTTTAATCCTGTCATTCTCTGTTAGGAGTAAATGTAACTTTATGCTATTGTATGTTTCTGAAAATCAATATGTAAAATGGATGTTTGTATGCTTCTCTGGTTTAAGGTTTCTCTGCACAAAAGAAAATAAAGAACAGAAAGTCATCTAGACTTCAGGGCTTCAAACTTTAGCTTGTAGCTATATAACTAGTGAATCGTGAAACCAACCTAGAAGATTAGAGTGCCTTGCATGTTTTGTGGGTAAATGTTTTCTGAAACTCTTCTTTATGCTTGTTGTGATCTGTATCTTGACATAAAATGTCATTTTTTGTGAATTTCTGTAAAAGGATGAAATAATAAATGGATAGGGCTGTTGTACATATGAGTCACAAACGACTCGACAGTACATAACAACAACAACAAAGATGTAAGGCCTCTTTTGCTAAGTAATGATTTGACATTGTAGTTTTAACACACTTAAACATTTTTGACACTATTTTGAAAGGAAAATTTCTGATAAATTTGTATACAGTGCGAGGTCATTCTCTAATAAATTTACTTTCTAAGTCAATGTCAAGGTGAGGACAGGCTAATATTTTGAAAAGCATAGTCAACAAAGATTTTACAGCAAAGTTACAGTCATGATAATTATGTTTGTTCTTTAGGTTTTAGATCGAAGCTTTAGAAAGGAGTTCCCTGAAATTCCCCCACAGCAGGTGGATCTACTCTACAAACTTTTTAAACGCCGGCCAAGGTTGGTTTGATCTTCCCTTTGATGTTTCTGAGAAAAGGCTCATAAATAAAAAGGGATGGGATTAGATTTTAGATTTTTTCCCCCTCCAAATTACATGGAAATATTCATTGTGACATTCTCCAGATGATGATGTTCAAGTGATCATATTGATCATAATATTTTTTTTATTTAGTACCTATAGATTTAAGAACAAGTGTGTTGTTATTAGGTGCTGTGGAGTCAGCTCTGATTCAAGTGATCTTCTGTGCAACAGATCAAAACTCAGCCCTATCCTTTCCGTCTTCACAGTCTCTACTGTGTTACACTCTCTGCTCTGCAGTCCCTGTAGCCATCTCTCAGGGAATGTCATCTTCACCCTCACTGGTCCTCTGCTTCTCTAAGCATGATGCCCCATTCAGGGACTGGCCCCCTCCTGATAACATACCCAAAGGATTTGAGACTGAGTCTCACATCCTTACTGCTAAGGAACACTCAGGTTACATTTCTATGACAGGTTTATTTGTTCTTTTGATGGTCCACAGGCTATTCAATATTCTTCACCAATACCACAATTTAAAGGCATCAATTCTTCTTTGCTCATTTTCCAACATTCACATGCATATGAAGCATTTGAAAATGCCATTGCTTGAGTCAGTTGGATCTCAGTCTTCTACCTTGCTCTGTAGGAGGATTTTGGCAGTTACTTGCCTGCTGCAACACACCTTTGGATTTCTTGGTTGAGTCTCAAGGGTTGCTATGAGTCAACATTAACTTGATGCAATACGTTAGACTTGGGGTTTGTGGTATGAGTTGGAATTACACATAAAAGGCTTCCAGGACAAAATAAGTTTCAAGAAACTCTGAGTTTTGTTTTTTTGAAGCTAAACAAGTTTCTTTACTGCACTTACAATCTGTCATTGGCCTTTGACTCTCTAAGTGTAAGAAGGAAAATAAGCCATGTCATTTGACTACATACCCCTTTCCCTCAGACATCTCATGTCATTGACCAAGACTTAGAAAAGGTTTTTCTTACACACACTTTGGACATGTTGTCAGGAGGGACCAGCCCTTGGAGTAGGACATCATGTTGGAAGGTTAGAGGGTCACTGCAGGAGAGGAAGAACCTCGATGAGATGGATTGACACAGTGACTGTGGCAATGGGGGCAGGTGTGCAAGAGACAGTAATATTGGCTCAAGATAGGGCAAGATTCAGAGCTTTTGTTCCTCGGGTCGCTGTGAGTCACAGTCGACCTGACAGCACATAACAACAACACCAAGAACAAGAAAAGTTTGCAAATTGTCAGTATAAACATTAATTTTTTATTACAATGGTGTCTCTCTGGAGACTAAGGTGCGTCTGATACAGGCTATGGTCTTCGCAATCACTTGTTATGCATCAGAGAGTTGTACAATGACCAAGGAGGATAGAAGGAGAATTGATGCCTTTGAGCTGTGGTGCTGGAGAGGAGTATTGAATGTACCATGGACTGCCAGGAAAACAAACGGATTCATCGTAGAAAGGATTAAACCAGGCTGCTCCTTGGAGGCAAGGATTCTGGGGCTTCGTCTGACATACTTTGGACATGTTGTAAGGAGAGACAGGTCTTTAGAGAGGGACATCATGCTGGGTAGAGAAGAGGGACAGCGCAGGAGGGGAAGACCCTCTCTGAGGTGGATTGATTCAGTGACTGGGGTACTCGGGATGGGTGTGTCAGAAGCAATGAGATTGGCACAGGATAGAGCAGGTGTGAAATTACACATCATCTAGAAATTATGAAATTTCTTGGTTACAAAGATCCTTATAAACTCATTCATGACTAAGCTACAGATAAATCCTCTCACCTTTGAGGACCTCCAGGCAACCTAATAAATTGAGCCTAAAGCGTGTCTGATTTCTTGGTTCTCTGTTTTTAAAGGAGTACACTCTAAAGAGCCTAAGTCTTTATGCTTGCATGATCTAAAAAGAAGCAAGATCCTGTAAGGCCCTGGTGGAATGAGTCACATCCTAATTTCTGTCATGCCTGTGGCCCTGGTCACTTCCTTGTCTCAGAGTCTCACTCTCCTCATCTTTACACAAGGGTCACAAGACCCCATCTCACAGAGAGTGGCTCCTACAAATCTCTGTATCTTTCTGCTTTCCCTTCCCACAGTCCAGAAAAGTAAAGAAAGCTTTTTATTGTGATTTGAGCAAAAGCAATCTTTTAATGTAGGGGAAAAAAGAAGAGACATCTCTTCAGATTCCTAAAAATATGAACATATTATAAGCTACTCGCAAAAACAGAAAATAGGCCAGCAGAGAATGTACAAGACAGAGTCTCGGAACACTCACACTTCTCTTGAGTGTTTAATTGCCTGCTGAAAACACACAAGTTGAGATAAAACTACCAGGGCTGGCAGATGGGGAGTCCTTAGTGAAGTCAAGGCCATATCTGGGGATTTTGGAGACCAGGCCAAGGAGAATAGAGCAGGCTACATTTCCCTTTGGAATAATTCATCCACCAGCCCCTAGATGTCCTGCAGTTTGTTATAACTATGCTAACTGATGTTTTCTTGTGGGACTGTGAAAAGCTGATGGCCTTTATTGCTCATACCAGGTTTCAAAAAATGAAAATGCAGCAGGATACCACCAGTCTTGTCCCTTTTGGAGACCAACCAGGATCTGACAGATTGAATAAGGAAGCCTTTGCATATTTAATGAAAGCCATGGATGAGTTGGATAATATCAGTAACATGCCAGAAGGAATGGATGAGGCGATCTGGGAACATTTCTGCTTGACAAGACGAGCGAAAGTGGAAAATGAACAGAAAGTATACAATGATGTTTTCTGTTTTCTTTTCTGTAGTACAGTAACATCAAGTATGTAGTTTAAGCTGGTCAAGGTTTCCAGAAAAACTCTTTATTTAGGTTTTTCTTTGTTCACTTTTAGAAGATGTAATAGTGACAATGAAATGAAATATTAATGTGTGTGCTCTCTGCTTCTTTGCCTGCACTGTCTAATATGGCCACTAGCTTCTTGTGGTTATCTTGTGTACTTGAGGTAAACCTGGCCAGTTTTGAATGAGATATGCTGTAGGTGGGAAAAGAGAGCTCTGGTGGTGTAGTCCATAAGGAGTTACACTGTGAACCCAAAGGTGACACCTCTCTGGTGGTTCAAATCCACCAGCAGCTCCCGAGGAGAAAGATGGGTAGTCTCCTCTCATACAATTTACAGCTTCTAAAAACCTGGTGGAGGGTCAGCCAGGAGTCAGTTCCCATAAGGATGCATTTTATGGGTAGAAGAGACACACCAGATGTAGACAAATTGCTATGGGGAAAAAGGAATTAGAAAATATAAATTTTTAAAAATTTGTTACAAGTTGAAATGGTAGTATGTTGGCAATATTGTGGCTAAGTAAAATTAACACACTCTCAAACCTTAGCTTTGACAGAGTGTTAGATAAAATATATTGCTAAAATTAATTCCAACTTATTTCTTTTTACTTTTTATAATGTGATGGTGTTATGTGCTGTCTTGTCATAACAGACTCATAGCTGACCCTCCAACTTTTCAGAGACTATAAATCACACAGGAAGAAATTGCCCATCTTTCTCCTCTGGAGCAGCAGATGGATTCAAACCACCTGCCTTTGTGTTGGCAGCACAACTTCTTACCACTAAGCCACGAGAGCTCCCTTTCATAATGTGGCTACTTCACAAAGCACCTCTGTGAGTCCCATGTGCAGCATACATGTTATTTCTTGTGAACAGCACCATGGTAGATGTGGCCTTCTCCTTCTCTTCTCTACCCTCATCTCGAGTTGTACTCGTCTCCTTGCATAGATTAGGATGATATTTTAGCTCCTAGAACTGACTTTAGAATTTTGCTAAAATATTTTTTAAATACCAAAGGGCAAACATTTGTGAATATATTTAATTGGAAAAGAATCCTTTAATTTTTTTAGTATGATTTGTGTGAAAGTTTACAAAGCACATTGTATGTGTGTGTGTGTGTGTTTTCAGTTAACTGTTACTCTTGTTATGTGCCACCGAGTGGCCTGTGACTCATAGTGACCCTATGTACAACAGCTCTAAACCCTGCTCTATCCTGTGTCATTCTTACTGTCTCTGACACTCCTACCCCCATTACTCTAGTCTCTGAACCAATCCATTTCATTGGGGGTCTTCCTCTCCTGTGCTGTCTGTCCCTCCACCCTCCCAAGCATGGCGTCCCTCTCTAAGGACTGGTCCCTCCTTTCAACATGTCTAAAGTATGTCAGACGAAGCTTCAGAATCCTTGCCTTCAAGGAGCATCCTGGTGTAACCCTCTCCTGGACAAACCTGTTTATTCTCTTAGCAGTCCATGGTATATTCAATACTCTTCTCTAGTACCACAGCTAATTAGTCATGCATATTTTATTCCATAATGTTAATTAAAATACACGCAATGTTTTATTGTCCTTTTATTCCACATTATCCCTTTTTCCACCCATTCTAATAAGGTGTTTATTTTCTATCCATTTTGTATGCTCTTGCCCCCACTTCCCCATAACCAAAGTAGGTTGATTAATTTTGTACATAAATCTTTAAGAGTCCTTTCTTTTGTTGCATCTTGGTTCTCTCTTGCTCCCCTCCAAATTCCCTAAATTCTGTGCCACATGCTTCAGGCTGGCATGTGTTTGTTTAAGTATCTATGATTTTATACAAGCCTTTTGGCCTAGTGGTAAGGAACCGCACTGCGATCCCAAAGGTAAGCAGTTAGAGTCCACCAGCTGCTCTGTGAAGGATGGCAGTCTCCGCCTGTGTGGTTTGCTGCCTCTGCAAACCCCTTGGAGGGTCAGCTATGAGTCCATTCTGACTCAGTGGTGTACAACAGCAACAGTGATTTTATTATTTTACCTAATGTGATGGGGTCACAGTTTGAATAAGTTTGCGTAAGATATATGCGAAATTCTAGCTGCTTGCATGTTTTATTTTCATCAAGAAGCAAATGGAATACTCTTCAAATTCTTTCTGAAAGTACCATGTAAATTATAGGTATTTTCTATTCTCTAATATTGGAATTTAATTTTTCTTACTCTCTTAGAAATATGGGTGTTTTATTGGGGAGGGGAGCAATCCCACATAAAAGAAATAGATGTTTTCTGAAACTCCCTAAAACTCATTTTTATTTCTGAGACATTGTGGTTTGGTTTCTTCAGGTAAAACAGAAAGCAGCTGGCTTAGTGGAAATGCTGGCTTTTGTCCGGAAAAGAGTTGAGGAGGACGAAAAGGTGCAACAGAACATCGAAAAAGTGTTCCACGAACTCATCTTGTAATTTGAAACTTTCATTTAGTTCATCTACTCAATCTAAGCAAAGAGCTAAATTAGATTGTGTTTTCATGGAGTAGAATGCCTAAGAAAAGGTCTGACAGTGGTTTATAGCTGACCCAAACTTATATAGTTCATTAATGTCCAAAGAATACGAGATAAAGTCTGTCCATCCCTGCTTCTAAAGAGCATTCTGGCTGCTCTTTGTCTGAGGCAATTCATTATATGATAATTTTTTATGTCTAGGCTAAAGGAAAGAACATGAATTTCCTAGAAATGGATTTTTAAGTAGTATATAGATTAAACATTGTTAATACAGTGTCAGAAGTCAATAAATAATGTCAGAACTGTAATAGACTTGTTATTTGTTAACAGCTCTATTTTCCTCATTTAAAATTTCTTTTCCTTATAATTGAAATTATATTAACCTTTTCTTAATTCTAAAGTAAAATTTTATGAATGCTTTTCTGTCCACACGGAGTTTGGGTTGTTTTTTTTTAAAAAAAAATACCATTTTTAAAAAATAAAGCAAAAATATCAGCCCAAATGTAATTCCCTGTTGATAGGACAAATATTGTAGAAGCCACTGGGAAAACTCATCATTGGGAAAATGTTCTTCACCTTTATCTCCAGAATGTTTTCTTAAACTCTTTTGAAATTTATGTTCTCAAACAGTAGATGAAAATTGCAATATAAATATGTTCTATATACTTATTTTGGTTTCATTTTTAGATTACAGGAGGAGAAGATAGAATTCCAGTTAGACTTGACCATCCAACTTCTCCTTAAACAAGGACAAGTAGAACTGGAGAATTTCCAGCTAATTCTAGAATATTCTGATGCAATTCTCATCAACAAGAACATAATTGAAGACTTAAATTCTGTGATTCGGGTAACTATGCATTTTCAGAGAGAAAGTAACGTTTATCTGTTGTATCACATATTTTGCATTCTTTTTCCCTTTCCATGATAAATCACATTAAATCAGTGATTTCCATCTCTAACTGACCCAGCTTCTTATTATTATAGTTTTTTAGGAGCCTCAAAAGGGAACTCTGGTGAACTAGTGGTGAGAAACTGTGCTGCAACCCCGAAGGCATATGGTTCAAATCCACCAGTTGCTCTCCAAGAGAAGGACGGGCAGCCTTCTCCCACTTGATTAACTGCCTCTGAAAACCCACAGGAGGGTCAGCTATGGGTTGTTTCGAGCTCAAACAGAACAGCAACAATGTACAGTCAGCCATGGAAATCACCGAGCTAATGAAATCAAATGATCGTGGAAAGGGAAGAGAACTATATTAACTATAGAGTTAAATCTCATTTCTAATACATCATATGAATTGTCTAATGAATTTGCTTCATTTCTGACAAACATTTAATTTTATAAATTTCCCCCTAAGCATATTCTACAATTTTTTACTTTTTGTCTATATTTTCTCTCCCTTCAGATTCTTTTTTTATAATTGTATGGCTTTCTGTTGGATTACATATTTGGAAGCATGCTATTTAACTTCCAAATATTTCAATACAGTGTGCTCTTTGGGGCTTATGTATACATATGCCATATATTGTACTCTTACAAATACAGTTGTTGTTGTTGTTGTTATGTGCCATTGAGTTGCTTGCGACTCATAGCAACCCTACGTACAACAGCACTAAACTCTGCTCTGTCCTGTGCCAATCACACTGTCTCCAATACACCCATCCTGATTACCCCAGTCACTGAATCAATCCACCTCATAGAGGGTCTTCCCCTCCTGTGCTGTCCCTCCACCCTACCAAGCATGAGTCCCTCTCCAAGGACTGGTCCCTCCTTACAACATGCCCCAAGTATGTTAGACGGAGCCTCAGAATCCTTGCTTCCAAGGAGCCACCCGGTTTAACCCTCCCCAGGATGAATCTGTTTGTTTTCTTGGCAGTCCATGGTATTCTCAATACTCTTCTCCAGCACCACAGCTCAAAGGCATCAATTCTCCTTCTATCCTCCCTAGTCATTGTCCAACTCTCTGATGCATAACAAGTGATTGCAAAGACCACAGCCTGTATCAGATACACCTTAGTCTGCAGAGAGACACCATTGCTCTTCAGTACTTTGGAGAGGTCCCTAACAGCAGACTTTCCCATGGCAATACATCTTTTAATTTCTACATTATTGTAATTTTTTTCCTTTCTGTAGTGAATTCTCTTTTACAGTGATAAAAAAGTAAAGAGCAAAAAGTTTTTCCTTTTACCTTTATTTTCACCATTTTCTCTACCACTATTTCACTGTACAGACACAAGTCCATATACTGTTTGCTACAAGACCCTCCTTTAACATAACATCTGGAGTGTGGGTCTGCCAGTATTAAATTGTCTGGCTTTGGGTATTTTTCCCTTTTGTATTAATAACCTTTCTCACATCTCCATTTCTGTAAGAGATTTAGGTAAGGATTTTTATCTAGGTTAGCACCTCCTTTCTTCGCTCCTTTCTCCCTCCTTCCTCTCACTTCAAAGATATTCACTGCTTCCACCTTTGCTACTGCTTAAAAGTGTCTCATGTACTCGCCAAATATTTAGGATAGATTTTCCACCTGTCTTTCTGTTTCTGATTTCTAGTTTAATTCTACTATGCTCTGAGAGCATTTTTATGTATTGTGAATATTTGTTTTAAGATCCAGAGTATGGTGTCACAGGAAATGTTTCATGTGAGTTTGAGAAAAAATGTGTATTGAACTTGAACTTCCATAATACTTTTTATTCAAAAGGAGCAGGGAGTGATCAAGTCTGACTTCTTTCTCTTAACTCCACAAAGGGAAACTGTCCCCGTCAAAACATCCACAGCACCAAAATAAGAGCCACACAGAAAGACATGGCCCCCAACTCCACGGTACCCGCTTGTACCAATCACCGCGTCTGATATTTATTGTAAAAGTTTATTAGAGAAACTAGTTTGGTGTTTATTAGAGAAACAGGTGGTGGGTGGTGAGGGAAGGCAAAGGTTACCATCACACAGTGAAAGTCCCTAGGTTCAGTCCAGCACACAAACGCGAGAAGCCTCTGGTTTTCGAACTCATCCAGCAAGCCTCTTCTCATGAAGGTCTCAAGGCAGCTCTTCCTTCAGTCTCCAGAAGCAAACCCTTTACCTCTGGCTCCGTCTCCAGGGTTCAGACATGCTGCTCCTCACGGTGGTCCTTCCTCAGTTTATTTCGCTCTCTCTCTTGTGTTAGCTTCACAGCTATTGATGATGTTGAAGATGCTGATCAACTGCAATCTACGAGTCTGTGTCTAAAGTTGAGGAAGCTGGAGACCATGTAGGGGGTTGGGAAATGGGGGTCAGGGTAGGGTGAGGGAGTTAAGGCAATGGATAGAAAAGCCATTTGTTCAAAGTTCTAACACCACAGAACATGAAGTATGACCTTTCTTAAATTTCAGGTTCCTGTAAAACATCCCAGAGGAAAGGCTTATTATTCAGAAAGAAAGACTTAGGAGTGATGTATATCTAGAAAGTTACAAATGAATAATGGCTTGCTATCTATTGTTGTTGTCATGTTCCATCTAGTCACCTGTGGCTCATAGTAATCCTTTGTGCATTAGCTCTAAACTCTGCCTTATCCTGAGCCAATCTCATCATCTCCAACAGAGGTAATCCCATTTCTCCAGTCACTGAGTCCATCTATCTCATCCTGGGTCTTCCCCTCCTGCTCTGTCTCTCCACCCTTCCAAGCCTGATGTCCTTCTCCAAGGACCGGCTCCTCCAGGTCGCATGCCCCAAGTATGTGAGACGGAGCTACATAGAGGGAATTAAAGCCATAAGATGGTTTAAGTTTATTTAGGAAGCAAAAAGTCACAAGAAAAAGGAGAGGAAAAGGAGGTTGGGTCAGTGCCTGATATCCAACTCCAAAAAAAATCTAACCAAGAAAGAGCACCTCCTTACTGACATAAAAGGTCAACTTGGTCAACATTCACATGTATCTTTATTGTATTTACTGCCAGAGTGTTCTTTGGAGGCAAGAATGATGAGGCTTCGCCTTATTTCTTTCAGGCATGTTGCTAGGAGGGACATGATGCCTATAAGGGTGAAAGTCAGCAAAGGAGAGTAAGACCCTCAATCAGGTGGATTGACATGGTGACTGCTCCAGTGGGCTCTAGTGTGTCAGGAAGTGTGAAGATGGCACAGGACAGGACGGGGTTCAGATCTGCTGTTCAGAGCGTTGCTGTAATTGTACGAGCCTTGTTGGGAGCTAACAACAACATCATCATCTACTGTTTAATTGCTATCTTGCATTATAGTGACCAAGTTTTGCCCAATAATTGTTTTTTATTAGTATCTGCTCTGTGTTTTAAAAGAAGATCGAATTATGTCTAAGCATAGCATTCAGATTCGAATATTCCATAATTCTGAGTGAAGAACCCTATTATCTGAATATTGGAATATGTTGATATTTTTTTAAGACTCAAGGACAAAAGAAAGTTGCTAGCATGATGGAAAGTAAAAATGTCCACAAAGGAATATATCAGATCGAATGGGAACATAAGAAAATGGAGATGGAAATGGAAGATCTAAACCAGAAAGCATGGGATATTCAGATGCTATTTTTTTCAAGAGATCGTCAAAAGGTAAATTTCTACTACTCTACTATGCAGTTTATTATTTTTATTTTACTTTACTGTGGTAAGACATATATGATGAAAGTGTGCTATCTGTACCATTGTAGAGTGTATAATCTGTTACAGTAATTACATTCACCGTGTTGACAATGAACACATACCCAGCCATGCTGTCACTGGTGCATTTCAGAGCTAAACCAAAGGTCTGCTGGGGCTTCGGAGGTTTAAATCCACTAGGAGGAAAAGGGACAGTTCCGCCCTCATTGCCATTTACATCCTTTGAAACCTGATAGAGGGTTCCTATAAGTCTGAACTGACTTGATAGGAGGGAGTTGAATAGAAACACAAATTTAATATGTCGTAGTCAACGGCACATAACATATATCTTCATTCAGATCTCTCCTGAGCCCCAGATTACCACAAGTAAATTGTGTGTGTTTGCTTGTTCTAGATAGCTCATTCAAGTCAGGTAATACAATGGCTGTTCTCTTGTGTCCAACCCTCTTTACTCAGTATGTTTTAAAGATTCATCCATGTAACATCAGGAGCCCTGGTGGCCTAGTGGCAAAAAGCTGGGCCACAATCCCAAAGGCACTTGGTGCAAATCCACCAGCTGCTCTTCAGGAGATAAATGGGCTACCTCCTCCCGTGCAATTAACTGCCTCTGAAAACTCACCAGAGGGCCAGCTATGGGTTGGTTGCATCTTGATGGTACGCAAACCAAACAGCAACCACTGTGTAATAATAGCATGTTTCAAAACACAGTGAAGTTGTAGTTTAATATCTTTATAACTTATTACTATTCCACTCTATTTATATACACGGTTTCTTTACCTGTTAATCTGTTGATGGATGTGTAGGTTGTTCTATATTTCATTTATTTAAATAATATTTAATAAGAAGTCACTGAAGGCCAAGCTTATTCTTTCTCTCTTTCATTGATGTGAACCAGAACTAACTCATAGCTGAAGCTCCTTAGGTTTCCAAAGCTTTAAATTGCACAGGAGAAGATCCATCCACAGATCCACCGCTGGATGTGAATGACCTGGAAGGTGCAGGCTTTGGCTTAGCAGTGCTAATTCCTACAGACTGTAAGCCCAGAGCTCCCTCCAGTCTAGGCCAATAGTGTGTCATAAAGCATCTGTGGATTAATCTTCCGGGAGTTTGCATGTTACCTCCAGCATTCCATTACCTATTCAGCAGGTTAGTTATATCTTGTTGGACAAAGACTTCTGATTGTCAAATACCCTGGCCTCTTTCCTGTTATCACTGTCCTCCAATTATCTGCAGAATTTGACCATCTGCTTATCCTTTCTCAAAAAAGAATCCATTCTCATGGAGTCTGGTGATACAAACCTTGGACAATCAAGCTGCTTGGGGTTTTCAGATGGGACAAAGAAAGGGAAACAAAACAAAATAGAAAAGAATGACAGAAAACACTGAAAAAAAAAACCACAACAGGATTAGGCAGTAAAATAGACAAACTAAAACTGAGAGGGGTACAAAATGAAGGAGAATCAGAATGGAAAGGCGAAAAAAGAAAAATACAGGGAAATGAGAAGAGACTGGCAATGGAAAGGGGAAAAGCTAGAGAGGCGAGAAAGTGGGAAATACAAGATGTTAAAAGGGGGGAGGAGGAGCCACAAGGACAAAATATAAAATAAACGAGCAAACAAAACTCTGAAATGCTTTGGGAAATGAGATAAAAAAGAAGAGGTATGATCAAGGGAGGTGGGCTGGACACCCGATAGCTGTTCTTGTCCCTGCTGGGGTTCTTGGCATCAAGGTGTTGGGTCTGGGACAGTGTCTGCCAGTCCAGCAGAATGTTAGGGTTAGATTCCCAATGAGGTCACAGTTTCTGCTCATCTGAGAAGTGGATGAGGCCCCACGATGTGAGCTGTCCCATCAGTAGCAGCACTGCTGGCCTCAGAGGAGCCATGTGAGTCCACCTGCTAGGGACAGTGTGTCTTTCAGTCCAGGGGATGAGTGAAGGTGCTGCATCAGAGATGGCTAGGATGTAGAGATAGTCACTGCCAACCTGGCATTCCCTGGGATGGTGTACCCCATAGAGGGTGCACTGTTACCAATGTGGCCATGGGATATGCCGGCAAGGGTGCCCAGTAAGAGACAAGGGTTCCAGAGTTAGTGTCCTTACTAATTCAGGGGTTTAGGGCACTGTCCACAGGCTCCCTGTGTAGTCCCTGGATGTAGAGCTGTGTGTGTGCCCCTTGTATCAGACACACAGTGACACAGGCTTGGCCTCAGGTGGAGCTGAGATAGGCCTGGGAATGCTGTCACGTCACCTGGTGGAGCGGGGAGTAGGGGCAGACTCTTCCCTGTACTTCTTCCTGTGCCTTCAAATTGCAGTGCATCTTCTTACCACTTGTTGTGTACTGTAGAGTTGGAATCACCCATAACTGATGCTCTGGTGGGTTTTCAGAGGCAGTTAATCACACGGAGGAGATGGCCCATGAGTGTCCTGCAGTAGAGCTGGTGGCCTCTAACCACATTCCTTCAGGGCTGCTGTGCCACTTGACACTAGGCCACCAGAGCGCCTGCTCAAAGGACCACTAGGACACTAGTAATCATTAAAATACAAGGGAGTGGCGAGCTCTGGTGGCCTAGTGGCAAGAAGCTGCAACTGCAAGTTCAGAGGTGCACAGTTCAAATCCACCAGATGCTCTGCTCGAGAAGGAGGAACAATGTCCTCCTGTACCAGTCAGATCTGATTTGACGGTACACACAAAAAATAATGAAATAAAAAAAATATATAAGGGAGTGTATCAACGGCTCCACTCTGGATGCTGGTTTCTCGAAAGTTTTGGGTTGTGTTTGATTTGTGATGTGGGGTTTTTTTTCCCCCTCCACAAGAGGGTGTCAGTTTGTCTTTGGCCCCTTTTGGCCAACAAGAACCCAAGGGCAGAGGTTTTAAAACTCTGTAGGGCCCGAGGGCCACAGGCCTGAGGTCCAAATGTTAATTTTAGAATGAACATTCTTTAAGTGGTACAGCAGGCATTTGCTTATTTGCTGCACTGAATAACTTGGAGTTGCTGTGATGCTGAATACTGTGCCATAGTTGTGGTAATACATGATGGGTAACATGATGGGACAGCATTTGGTGGAGCTTCCAGACTGATTAAGGTTTGGAAGCAGAAGTGGCATCCGCTTCCTAAAACAGATGCCTCTGGAAATTCTATAAAGTCTATAATTATACAGAAATGATTTAATTATAGAACAGAGTTCAGGTCTTTTGTTCATAGGGTCACTATGAGTCATATTCAACTTGACGACACATTCTTCTACTTTGTACATCACTCTTCATCAGTTTGCTGTACTGAGATAATCTGAGTTTGCTGTGATGCTGAGCCTTGTACCACTGGGGTATTAAATACCATAATGATCTCCCAATGTGGACAGAGTTTGGTGGAGCTCCCACTTGTAAAACAGGTTTGGAAGCAGGAGTGGCATCCACTTCCTAAACCACAGACCTATGGAAACTCTGTTAACTTGGAGAAATGATGATAGTTACGGAAAGGCATTAGTTCTTTTGTTTATAGAATCACTATAAGTCGTACTCTACTTGACTGCAATCAACAACACAACAATATCAATGGTTAAATACAAGTAAATACTTTGGCACAAAAGTAAAATCCGTTTTATTTAATTGATTTACATACAATAGTTTTCACATTAACTTGTGTTTCATTCATGTGCATTTTTTGTTCCACTCACTCCACCCACCAGATTCTGCACACCCTTTCCACCCTCAGACCCCCACCCCCTTCCCTTCCCTCTTTGGAAATCCATACACATTTTATTGATTATTCTGAAGTCCAATCAGTTAGGTTATATGGAAAAATAGTTCTTTCTTATGAAAATATCTTTCAAAACTGACACAATTTAAAAAATAGCAGTTACAAATGGGGGGGAAGTCCTTAAATATTTTGTGATTATCTTTTCTCCCAAAGTTCCTAAATGAACCGCACTATGAGACCATGATAGCTATTCAAATTGGAATAATGGAGCAAACTATTGCTGTTTTGGAAAAGGTGAGTCTCCAATATGTTGATCATTATAATCCTTACAGTTGTGAATTATTTGAGCAAAGCAATAATGTTCCAAGTCATGAATCAGTCTGGATCGAGTTTTTACAGCCATACTAACCATACTAGTGGTATAGACTAAGATACTTAAGTTAATATTAGAATTAACCCTTTGAAAGACATGTAAGGGTGTTTTCTCCTATTTTACATTGTGATTTATGTAGTAGAAATGCTGATAGTCTTCCCTGGTTATTTTTTGCTCTATTATAACTTCTTAACAAATGTTTCTTTTTTATGGTATAGTATATGTGAGATGAAAATAAAGTAAAAAAAAAGGCGATTTTTATAAATAACCTATACAAGGGTGTACTAGAGTCTTTTTCTACAATGAAATATTAACATTCTATCAAGAAATAATTTGTGAGTTAATTGTGTGCAGGTATTATGCCAAGTACTAAGAATATGATGGTAAAATATAGATCTGTTTATCACACAGTCAATACCCTTATTAAATTCCAGCAAATCCTCACTGTATCTTGCCTTCCCTCAGTCTCTACTCTCTTCCCATTCCTGTCAACCCTCCACAATTGTTTCTATGTTGAAAAGTTTCCTTGGCTTCCCGTAGTCAACCAATCATGCATATCTTGTTTCATATCATTAATTACAATATACACAGTGTCTGATCGCCCATGCATCCCTCATTGCCCTTCACTTCACTGATTCCAATGAAATGCTTGTTATCTGTCCATTTATCTTATATTTTACTGATTATTTATTTGAATTTTAAGAATATCATCTTTATAAAACCCAATACTTTTTAAAAAATTATTTTTGTGGACTCTCTTGGGAAACAAAAATTCCAGACTCACAAGAAAAATGTGGACAACTGCAAAAAACTACTCAAAAAACTGGGAAGATACAGCAACCTGAAAGATGTGGCAAATTACCATCTAAGCTGCAGTTTACGAGAAGAGTTGGTGGCTATCTCAGAGAGAAGAGACATTTGTAATGCAATTGGTAAGGTCTCTCCCCCTCCCCAACTTGCTGTCATTGCGGTGCTAGCTCAGAGGTCACACCTCTCTGTTGGCTCAGATCTACCAGCAGCTTCAAGGGGGAAAGATGGGCAGCTTCCACCTATGCAGTTTATGACCTTGAAAACCAATGGAGGCTTAGTGATTAGTCAGTTGTGGCTTGAGAACAATGAATTTTGAGATTTCATTTAAAATGATCAGTATTCTTGAAATCTATAATTATCAAGATTTCCACAAATTATAGCTGATCCACTTCAAAAAACATTACTTCTTTATTTGAAGACAGATGCTGTTGTTGTTATGTGCCTTCAAGTCACTTGCGACTCATAGTGACCCTATGTAAAAAAAGCCCTAAACCCTGCTCTATCCTGTGTCAGCCTCACTGTGTCCAACACACTGACTCCCACCACCCCAATCACAGAATCAATCCATCTCATCGAAGGTCTTCCTCTCCTGCGCCCTCCCTCCACTCTCCCAAACATAACGTCCCTCTCCAAGGACTGGTCCCTCCTTGCACCATGCCCAAAGTATGTCAGACCGCTTCAGAATCCTTTTCCTCCAAGGAGTAGCCGGGCTTCACCCTCTCCAGGATAAACTTGTTTGTTCTCCTAGCGGTCCATGGTATATTCAATACTCTTCTCCAGCACCACAGCTCAAAGGCATCAATTCTCTATCATCCCTAGTCACTACTTTCTGACATATAGCACATAATTGCAAAGGCTACGGCCTGGATCAGGTGCACCTTAATCTCCAGCTCAACGTGGTTGCTCTTCAGTACTCTTGAGAGGTCCCTGAGAGCTGACTTTGCCAATGCAATTTGTCTCTTGATTTCCTGGCTGCTGATACCAAAAGTGGAGACAGATAAAATCCATTAATGTCTTACTTTCTCATTTTTGCAACAGGATCTAAACTGACTTGTGAACAGATCGCCAGAGAAAAATATGATAACATGATGCAACAACAAAAATTAACAAATATTTCAAAACAACAAGCTGAGCAAATTTTGATTCTGCAGGCCGAAGTTGAAAGACTAAGGATGAAAACCTTTCCTGCTCTTATTCATCTATAAAAATATTGGCCAAATAATTTTCAAAATCACTTCATTTGGTTAAAATGGGGTTGGTTTTTTTCTTTTGTACTTGGAAAATTAAGTAGATTCACTCTTCTTAGTTGCATATTTTAAAATAGCAAATGATTTTGTTTTAGCTCTAAACATTACAAAGTTTTCGCCCTGTATAAATAAATAAGAAAACTACAAATTCTTGGGTTTTTATTCAAGTACAAACAAGATTTTTAACTCTGAAAGTTTCAAGATCTCGTTTATTGGCCTCCCCATCTCTCCATCCAAGGAGGGAGGTCTGTCCCTTTAGGGGTGTAACTTTCTTTTTTTTAAAATTTTATTTTGTGTGTGTGTACTGTCAAATCAGATCTGACTGGTACAGGAGGAGATTGCTCCTCCTTCTCCGGCAGAGCATCTGGTGGATTCGAACCATGTACCTCTGGGATTGCAGTGCAGCTTCTTGCCACTAGGCCACCAGAGCTCCCTGGGGTGTAACTTTCTAATACATCTATCTTTACTTCCTACCTTCAAAACAAAGATCTGATTTACTCATTTAATTGTAACTTGATCAAAGATATTTTCAGTCATAGAAAGTCTTAAAAAAATTCTTAACTACATCTACCATTTCAAATGTTATGAAATTTTAATGAAAATGAAATTATAGGTTATTTTAAACCTTTATCTTTTTCTACGTTTATTCCCTAAGTTTTCATCAATAAGAATTTACTCTAAAATTAGAAATAAATTGCTAGAACATTTAAGATTATTTTCTTTATCAATTGAAAAGGTAAGTTGTTTATTTTCACCAAATCCTACATCATTTGTAAATTACACCATTATTTTGAAAACATTATTTTATACATAATTTATATATAATAAATATGTAACATTGAAAGTATGTTGTTGTTGTTGTTGTTGTGATGCATCATCAAGTCACCTAGGATCCAGTGATCCTACGCATAATAGCTCTAAACTCTGCTCATCCTAAGGCAATCAATCTTACTAACCCCAACACACCGACTGCCATTATCCCAGTTAGTGTGTCATAATATGTAATATTAAAACCCTCCATTTTTTGTACCTTATAGGTTATAGTATTCGGGGTGGGGGGAAGGTTCTTTCTCTTTTCCATCACCTGTGTGACTTTATTCATTTTGATGGAGGTAGTGAGGGAATGAGAAGAAACTGTTTAGAAGATAAACAGCTTTGCCTCTTCGACAGCCTGTGGGCTGTTGCATTCCAAGGCGATTCAAGTATTGAGGTCACTGACCACAATCTCCAAGTGATGTCAACATCTCACTGTTTTATAATTTATGCACTAAATATTACATCTAACCCACAATACCATAACCAAGATACATTGGCATCAATCAAGCCAGACTTCATAAAATCTTCGGGGGGGAGGGGGGCGGATGTCTCCAGATGGTACCATAATTGATTACTGATCAGCATGAATATACCAGGGATGGCCAGAAGAAAAATCAAATTCATCCTGGAGAGGGTGAAACCAGGCTGCTCTTTGGGGGCAGGGATTCCGAAGCTCCATCTGAAATATTTTGGGCATGTTGTAAGGAGGGACCAGTCCTTGGAGAGGAACATTATGCTTGGGAGGGTGGAGGGACAGCGCAGGAGGGGAAGACCCTGGATGAGATGGATTGACTGACTCGGGTAATGAGGGTAGGTGTGTCAGAGACCATAAGGTTGTCTCAGTATAGAGCAGGGTTCAGAGCTGTTGTACATGGGGTTGCCATGAGTCGCAAGCGACTTGATGGCACATAACAACATTAGGTGAGAATAGTGGATGATGAGGACCATCACCAAATAATAGCCTTCCTTAGTACTATGGGCACTTTGTCTGTTAGTAACATTCCCTTCAAAATTATTAGAGGGGGATTATGTTAAGCAGGGGACCATTCTGCAGGGCACTGTAGGGGGGTGCACAAATTCTTTATACTTAAGAAGTCTGTCCTTTTGCTTTGAGTCAACCACATGTTTAATGAGCTTGATTCCCCCACCTCCACCCCTTTCATCTCCTGGGGCTCCATTTGCCATCAGCAGCGCCACACTGGGTAATGCTCCAACATGCCTAGGTTTACCACCCAAATCACCTGTATGATTTCCATTCCTTAGTGGCCACCCTGAGCGACTCTGGAAGTCCTCATGGCCTGAATGCCTCAGCTTTGAGACGTGGAGTCAGGTTAGCAGGAGGCTCTCTTCCCATCACCAGCTTATCTTCTGGGCTGGGGGCTCCACAGTGGGTACTACATGGTTGTCCACCAGCCGGTCAGCACAACCCCTGCAGCACCACTTCCCCTGCCACATCTAGTCTGTCCGGCTGAGGAGTAACTAGTGATGGAAGTGGGTTGGTACGCATCAAAATGCCACACTTCCCAGACGAATCCGTCTATGCCATTCCAAGTCAGGGATGGCCATGAGGCCTGGTGTGGTTATAAGAGGTGGCTCACAGGAGAAACCAAATGCAACAGCTGTGTCTAGAAGGTTGAGATCTGAAGGAGAGGAAAATATATTTTGTCCACCAGAGAAACACAGCCAGTGTGTGTATTATGTGCTGTCGAATTGCTTGTGACTCATAACAATCCTATGCACAAGAGCGCTGAAACCTCTCTCCTGTGCCAACCTTACTGTCTGACACTAGGTGAAGAGAACTTGAAGCACTTAATGCAGAAGACCAAAGACAGCCGCTTTCATTGTGGATTACATCTCACCATCAAGTAAACAAAAGTCCTCACCAATAGGCAACATAATGTTGAAAAGGTTGAAGTTGCCAAGGATTTCATTTTAGTTGGATTGACAATACTCACGTGGTACCAGCACTCAAGAGAGCAAAAGATGTGTTAAAGTGAGAAAATCTGCTTTTGTGGACCTCATTAAAGTGCCAGAGAGCACGGATGTCAGTTTAAAGACTAAGGTGCATCTGACCCAAGTCACTGAATCAATCCATCTCATCAAGGGTCTTCCTCTCTTGCACTGTCCTTCCACTCTCACAAACAAGATGTCCCTCTCTAAGGACTGGTCTCTCCTTGCACCATGCCCAAAGTATGTCAGATGAAGCTTCAAAATCCTTGCCTCCAAAGAACAGCCTTGTTTCACCCTCACCAGTACAAACCTGTTTGTTCTGGTGGTCCATGGTATATTCAATACTCTTCTCAAGCACCATAGCTCATAGGTATCAATTCTCTGCCATCCCTAGCCATTGTCCAGCTTTCTGATGCATAGCAAGTCATTGCAAAGACTATGACCCAGATTGGGTGCACCTTAGTCTCCAGACTGACATCATTGGTCTTCAATATGTATATAGACATAAAAAGGTTTAAAAAATTGGGAGTTTTTGATTGTGAGGTTCAGCAAGCCTGAGATCTGTAGAGAAGTCTAATAGGCTGGTAGTTTAGGCTGCTAGTGGGTGCTGCACATTTGAAGTATAATATTGTCTTCTCTGGGAAAACTTAGTTTTTGCACTCTAAGGCCTTGCACCTGATTGGACCACTTCCTTTACTAAAAATTAACTAATCACACGTACAACATTCCTTCAGAGAAATGCCTAGTTTTAGGTGCCAGAATTGAGTGACCCTAATGATCAAGAGATCTGTACTTTGTTTTATCCTGTGCCATCCTGTCTTGCTCAAGTCCATCAGTAACTGTGTCAATCCAGCTGACAGCTTTTTCTCTTGTTGACCCTCTTACCTTTCACAACACATCTTTTTCCAAAGGCTGACCCACTCCCTCATGACTACATGTTAGACAAAGTTTTGCTATCTTTCCCTCTGGGGAACACTCCAGGAACACTTCCTCCAAGACAGATTCCTTTGTTCTTTTAGCAGTCTATGGCATATTCAGTACTTTTCACCAACACAATTCTTTGGTCTTCATTAACTGTCCAACTTTCAGATATGTAAGAAACAACTGAAACATCGGGGCTTGGGTCAGATGCACCTTAGTCTTTAAACTGACATCCATGCTCTCTGGCACTTTAATGAGGTCCACAAAAGCAGTTTTTCTCACTTTAACACATCTTTTGCTCTCTTGAGTGCTGGTACCACATGAGTATTGTCAATCCAAATAAAATTAAATCCTTGGCAACTTCAACCTTTTCAACATTATGTTGCCTATTGGTGAGGACTTTTGTTTACTTGATGGTGAGATGTAATCCACAATGAAAGCGGCTGTCTTTGGTCTTCTGCATTAAGTGCTTCAAGTTCTCTCCATTCACTGTAAGCAGGATTGCCATCTGCATAACTCAGGTTGTTGAGTCCCTCTAATCCTGGTACCACATTCTTCTTCATGTAGTCTAACTTCTTAAACTACTCTGCATACAGAGTGAGTAGGTCTGGAGAAAGGAAACACCCTGATGTAAGGATACAACTCTAGATTTGTGTTTGATAGTGATACAAAATGTAACACGAGAGTTCAAAAGCCACATTAAACTCACCATCAAAGGAATTAGCTGAAAGGGGAATACACTTGGAGGTGGGAGGTCTCAGGATGTGAACTACTTACCAGCTGGTTGTTGTTACGAGCCACCAAGTTGGCTCTGATGCATAAACTGTTTACCACAGAACACTGGCCGATCTGGCACTGTCCTCACAACAGCTGTTGAGCTGGAGCCGCTGTGGCAGCCAGTGTCCACTCACCTCACTGTCTGCCCCTCTCCACTTTACCATGATGCATTTGTCCAAACACTGACCTTTCTGATAATGAGTCCAAAGTATGTGAGATGAAGTCTGGCTGCCCTCACTTGTAGGGAACTCTGGCTGCAATTCTTCTTGTTTGGTTTTTTGGCAGTCCATGGCCAAGAGGCTTCGCCAGCATTGTCATTCAGGGGAGTGCTTCTATTTCTTTTAAAAGCATTTTTTTTCCTAAATGAAACTGTTTTAGATCTTAGAATACAATGGTAGGAATCCAGAAAGATGTCACAAAAGATTAGAAACTAGGATTAGGAAAAGTCACTGATCCAAAAGGATTCTCTCCATCCACCATCCGAGTCGTTTTTTTATTGGTAAGCACATACACTATCCTTAAGTATACTAACTTTACAAAAACTTACATACAACAGTTTCATCCACACAGAGACAGGTTGTCTGTTTTGGAGCTTAATTCCAAATTCTCAGCTCAAGCTGCACCTCCACATACGACCAGGACAGCAGTTAACTGTACAACACAGCAGCCAGAAACCCAGACTGTGGACGGGGTGTGCTTCTGGCTAAGGAGCTGAGAACTGAGTAGACAAAGTGCGATTATTTTCCAGTTAAAGCTAGGAGGGTAGAGATGCAAGTCTGTATATACCATGATGCTTTGATGTAGGAGATGGCACGTGTATTTCTTAAGAATTAGATGGTCATTTTGCTAAATGAAATTCCAGAAACAAATTTAAAGAGACAGCCAGGGGAGAGTATCATTTTGGACCCTTGAGCTTAATTATCAGCTCAACCACACAGATGGGGAGTATGTGGAGAATGGAAATGGGATCACAAACTGAGGAAAGAGTGGCACTTTGAGGACAGCATCTTAAGACTAGTTTAGGGTTAGATGTTTACCAACTTGAACCATTTTTTAATATTTAAAATAAAATACCTGGCTACAATAAAGTTAGCAATTTATGAAAACTGCTTCCAAAACTTGCCCAATCAATTTTTAAACATAATTTGAGTTCGGGGGTTTTTTCACATTTTTTAAATGTCAAGTTTTCTTTTGCATATTCATACAAAACATAACATTTCTATTTTATAACTTGGTTGATATGTTTGTAATAGAGCGCTTTAAATTACTGATATTCATAATATTTCCTTTTGCCTGCTAATGGTTTATACCTTCCATTTAAAATATATAAACATCTTTTCATTAAGTTGGAACTCTCAAAGAGAGATCTGAAAACAAATGAGTTAAACATCTGTAAATTCTTCTTCACTTCTCTTATAGTGTAGCAACTTATCATCTAACCCATAGTAGTCTATCAGGTCAGTGAGGCTTAATTTCTTATTTTCTTCAGACAGTGCTGACTGCAACTCATAGAGCACCAGCTGGCTACAGTGTCTCCACTTCTTTATCAGCGACTGTAACCGAGAGAGGTCGTTCTGAAACAGAAAGACAAAACCTGTGTATGTAAATGTATGTCAGTCAATTACTACGCAATCACTTTTACTTAACAGAGGTTGCTGTATCCGTTACAATGAGTTTAAAGACTAACATGTGGGACTGGACAGAAAAGCAGAAGGTTCTCAAGTAGAATAATTACAATGACCCTTTGAATTCTTAAGTTGATGTATCTGGTTCACATTCTGGGTCACCAGGAGAATTTAAGTGATGAAATAGGACATCATCAAGGGACTGAAACAATCCAAGTTTGAAAAAAAAATTTTTTAGATTACAGCTATAATTTGCAAGTATTTTCAATTTTATGATTTTCATATTTTAATAATTCAAAATGTTAAAATACTCAAATGATCACATTTAGGGGAAAAAACCCTACAAATTCAAGACCACAAAGGAGATATAATCATTTTCTCCACATTGCTGGGAAGACAAGTTACTGTACATGCAGAATTATCCATGAAAGTGAAGACTACCTTCTTCCTACTACACAAGTTCTATTCCACTCCATTTATGTGAAATTGAAATGTAAAATCTAAGACATGTATGTTTTCTTAAAACAGAATACCTGGAACGTTTTAATTATTTCAGGGGAGACTTAAAAACACCCCTCACTGTTCTCTGTGGGCTATTTTTAACTTTTCATTCACTGTTGGCTGTCGTTTCTCTCCTGCTGATGCTTTCGTCAAAGATTTGATGCTTCTATAGGCTTGGAAGTGGAGAATAACGCTTCCTCTAACTATTGAACAAAAGTCATGTAGTCAAATTTAGCTGGGACTTTGGAAATTTAAATACTGCCTCTTCTACTCTAAATCTCTGACTATATTTTAATTATTTGAAGCCAATTATCTGGAGTCCTGGCTTACAAAATGGTATTCAAAATGAACTTTTCTATACTTTCCTGTTTATCATAAAATAAAATATATACAGTAGTTCTGAAATTCTTCTCACCTTTGATCTATACATTTTGACTAGTTTTAGCCTGCGAAGAAGGTCTTCTTTCTCCTCAATCTGCTTCACCAATTTTGATTTTTCTTCCAGTAGTTCTTGTTTGAGAAGATTCTCATTGACGGAATCATTTTGGAAAGCACTGTATGATCCAGTTCCAAGTGATTCAGATTCACATAGACTAATATTCTCAGAGCTATTTTTCAAATATGTAGTTTCTTCAAAGTCACTGTCTGTGTGTTTAAAAGTTTCTTGAGATCCCAAAGAGTTTTCTTCTGTTGAAGATACTGGTTTTTCTGAAGGAATCTGATCACTCTCTTCATTGTCTACTTTAAGACGTTTTACCACACTGTAACAGGAACTGAATGATGCTCTTGTTTTCCTTAATCTTTCTCGAAGTGTTGCACTCATTGGCTTAAAAAAAAAAAGAAAAAAAGGCACAAAATGTTTAAACCCTTATCCAAGAAAAACACTCTTGATGATAATAAACTACTAGAAATACTTTGCATTTCTAGAATGGTTTTGTTCGCCATCAAGTCTTCTTTCAACTTGCCTCTCATTGCTTTCTAATGGGATCCAACTAATAGCTGACCCTTCAGGTTTCTGAGGCTGTAAATGGCACCAAAGTTTGCCTGTCTTTCTGGAGGGGTAGGGGAGGGAGCAGAAAACCCACAGAGTTTCCAAAGCTGTAAATCTTTATGAGCACAGACTGTCCCATCCAGTAGGTGTGCTAGTGAGTAAACTGCCCATCTTGGTTACACCATCAGGGCCCTTTACTTCTATGGTACTTATACTTATGGAAGCTCTGGTAGCCTAGAGGTAAGAAGCTGCACTGCAACTCCAAAGGCATTTGGTTCAAATCTACTAGCTACTCTGTGGGCAAGAAGGATGGACAACTATTTCTGAAAACCCACTGGAGGGTCAGCTATGGGTTGGTACCTACTCTATGGTTGTTGCTGCTGTTATTGTTGTTAAGTGCCGTCGAGTTGTAGGCGACTCACAGTGACCCTATGAAGGAAAGTCCTTAACACTTGCGTGACTTTCATCCTCGCTCCAGGTTTATAGGGTTTCTGGAGGCAAGCTATTACGGAAGTGAATGTCACTCCTGCTTCCAAGCTTGTTTTAATCGGGGAGCTCCACCAAACACTGTCTGCCATGGGTAACCAGTAATGCATTTGATACATCATTGTCACAGTGTTCAGCTTCAGAGCAACCACAAGTTACCTCTGTACAGCAAATGGACACACCAGGGCTATAAGACCTAGAAGGATGTTTGATCAAAAACAATGAAAAAGAGGCCTGAGGGCCATGGATTAGAGTCACCCAACTTCATCTTTGTAGCATTGCTTTCTGTCCACTGGGCCAACTGATCACTCTCTACTCTATGGTCCATAACAATATACCAATACTCTTTGCCATTAAGTTGGAACCAAGTTGAAGCACTTGAACCTCCAAAGCACTTTTGGAAATTGCCCTAGATCATCACCCATTCTCCTATGGCTTCAAACCAGCCAAGAAGTGCCACCTTTGGGTCAGCAGCACCACTCCCTGTGGGCTACACCACTAGGGCTCACTTCTATGGTTATTGTTGTTGTGTGCTGTCAAGCAGTAGCTGACCCCTGGCAGGTTTTCAGAGGCAGTTAACTAAACTGGATAAGACTGGCTATCCTCCCTCGAGCAGCTGGAGGATTCTAACCATGGGCCTTCAGGACTGCAGTGCATCTTCTTGCCACTAGGCCAGAGAGCTCACGTTTATGGTGGACATTACAAAACGGCTTTCTGTCTCCATGCCCCTATAAGTAATCATCACAAAAAGGTTTACATTCCCAAATGCTCCATTAGTTTCACTTTTCATTTTAAAAAGATGAGTATTTTTAAACGATGTTGAGATGCTTATTCTAGCAATCACAAACATTTGTTGAGCAACCTGACATCATCAGAGGTGCTTCAGTTACCGATTACCTTGCCACCACAACATGATAAACACCCTGAACATATTCAAATATCCTGAATTTGGAGCACTGCTCTAATAAATAACTCAGGGAGTTCTGGTGGCAAGAAGCTGCGTTGCAATCCTGAAGGCACGCAGTTTGAATCCACCAGATGAGAAGCAATCTCCTCCTGTGCCAGTTGGATCTGATTCGAGGGTACACAACAAGCAAAGGGGGAAAAAATAATTTTATATACACTTTCAAGATGAGAATTGGGGAGGGGGTGTCAAATATGTCCTCTTAAAAAAGAAAGCTCCAATTTTTTAATAAAGTTGATTTTCTTACTAATGCTATACATTTAGTTAATCCCACCACTACCATAACACTTATGAGCTAAGTGGACCCACTGAAGAACTGAGACTCTCATACTTGTTTTTTTGAACTGTTTGTTTGGGGAGATGGAGGAAACACACAGGCCTGCGGGGTGCTGGGGGAAATCACAGCTGAGTCCGTGGAACTTTCCATCTTGGAAATTAAATCCTGACTTCTCTCTGAAAAAAAACAGAATAAAATACATACACAAAACCACAAAACAAAAATTAACCAATCCCTCTACAGAGTCCTCAAAGATTTTTTTTTCCCCTTACATTAACACCTAAAAGTAAGCCAGCAACTTCCTCTCATTTGGCATAGCTGTGTTTAGTTCTTGCTCTTTTCTGCAGTAATTTTCAGTCCACGTTCTCACATGTAACGGGATCTCATTTGAAGTAGACTGGGTGGTTGGGTTTGTTTTGTTTTTTTATCTATTACACTAGCTTTAAAAACTGCCACTTCGGAAGAAAAGAGTAACTGTGGACAGCCGAGCATGCTTCAGTTTAGTTATGACAGTTCTATAATGAAAGGAAATACAACTGAGACCTCGGCTCCCAAACACAATCAGACCGGACTGAACCCGCAGAGCTATGTGACTGGACTCAATGACCATCCAGAACTGGGCACAGGGAACATAAGAGGAGCTCATTTTACGCATGTTGTGCAGAGTTCAAGTAACAAAAAGAGCCCGGGGAGGAGAATGGATTATCTGTTTTCTCAAAGCCAAGACACCAACTCCATCAAAATCAATAGCGGGCAGAGTCTTCTTCCCCCATAACAGAAAACCCACGTTAGACCTCCAGGGATCCCCGGTCTTGAGGGATAGTTGAAAGCCTCCTGGACTACGCAAAAAAAGAGCTTAAAATTCTTCACGGGGACAGACCATCAGGAAACTCAAATAGATTACCTCCCTCCGCCATTCTCATGGGCAGAAAAACGCCCAAACTCGGCCGTAAACCGCCCCGCTCCAGGGGCGGGGCCTAGGGGAGGCGGGAGAAACATGCGATTGGCCAAAATGATTGACCATCCCAGATAGGCGGCACTGAACGAGCCCATTGAAGGAGAGCGGAAGGGATGGGCCACGCGAGAGGCGGGAGAGACGTGTGATTGGTGCGATTGAGTGACGCACCCCGCTGTGCTCCGCCCAGCGCCCGAAAGCGACGAGACTGCGTGCACGCATGGCAGTGCGACTCTGCGTGGGCGGGGCGGGGCGGGCGCAAAAGGAACCACTAGCCAATCCGTGAGGAGTCTGTTCTCCCTTTGCAGACTTCCCTTCCCTTTCTGTCCCTTGTTTTTGTTTTCTGTTTCCTGTGAGGCAGTGATTGGTGGTGTTGGAGTGCTGCTGTCAGTTCCCTCTGCTCCGTATTCCTCTGGCTCCCCTTAGTCTGTTTTGTTTTGAATATAGCTAGTGCCCTTCCTCGTTCTTGAAGGAAACAAAAGCTACGTAAATTCACATTTTCGAAACTATTCAAATAGAGACCACGAGACAGCTTTGGGCGAAATTTATTAGAAATTTATCCAAGAGACCTGGCGGATTCAGTTGAGTTACTTCTGACCTGTTTTGATTATTGACGCAAACTTAATGGTCTATTTTTTTCAAGTTTAGATTCTTTAGATTGACGCTGTTACATGTTGTTGAGTTGGGAAATGACCAGTGGGTCTTCAGAGACAGTAAAGCACACGGGAAGGCATTGCCAAGACAAAATTTGCTGTGATTCCATGCAGGAAACAGAAAAATCACTAAGATTCTGTTGGTCCAAAATTCAGATGTCAAAGACAAATCATTTCCTTTCCTTAAAACGAGTCCCTATGAATGAGAACTCAAATGATAGTGGGAAAAGAAAAAAAAAAGATAGTGGGTCTGATTATTGTTACTTCCCCACTCCCTTCATTTCCTGTGTTGGAATGTTCTGTTGCTATGCAACCAGAAGAGTGAACCAAATCGGGTGCAGCACTGCATTTATGGGAAGTCGGTTGACTCACCGCTGAGTCATCTGGAATTAAAAGGGGACCGTGTGTTCCGTCCCATTGAAGTGTTGACATTAACCAACCTCTGAGTATGTATATAAGGAGGGGGGAAACGGCCCTAAGAAAAAAAATGTCAAAATCTCAGACTGGTCAATTCCAAGTAAATTCTCAAATAATGGATACTTGCAAGTAACCAGAATGCAGAAACATGAGTCCCAAGCTTCCACCACTGTCCACTAGTTGTTAATTCCTAAGCCACCCTCCATCGGGTTTCCCAAGGCTGGACATCTTCATGGAAGGAGAAGGCCCATCTTCTCCCACAAGACTGGCTGGTATATAAAACTGCGAACCTTTGAGTTAGCAATGGTAACTGCACTGCCAACATGAAGGAACAGGGTTCTAATCCCCCAGCTGCTTTGAGGGAGAAAGATGGTTCCAATTAGCAACAACAACAGCAAGCTCCCTGGGCTCCTTGAACCATAAGTATAAACACAGAACCTGAAGATAAACGAATGTAATGGTTAAGAACATAAAAACTGGAGTCAAATTCTATCTGTTCAAATCTGGATTCCATTGTTTTAGGAGGTTGTGGTTTGGGTGGTATTTTGTTGAGTTGGTTTTTGTTTTTTCTGTTGTTTTGTTTTTTGTAAAACAGTAAAGATAGATTTATTAGAAATTTATATAACCTGAATAAAGGATTCAAGTCTCACAAGTGTTGAGGACTTCCGTTCCTAGGGTCACTATGAGTTGCCTACAACTCGAGGGCACTTACAACAAACAACACAACATATCCCCAAAGGGACGTACCTCCCTCCTTGAAAGGAAATACAGAGCGAGGACAGGAGCTTTTGAAAATAAAGTCTCTCTGCCTCAGTTTCCTCATCTTTAAAGATGAGTACCCACCTCCTTGTTGATGTGTACTGTAGAGCTGGAATGACCCATAGCTGACCCTCCAGCGGGTTTCCAGAGGCAGTTAATCGCAGGGGAAGAGATTGCCTATAAGAGTTCCTACCTACTTGTCGTTGTGTACCATCGAATCAGAAATGACCCATAGCTGTCCCTCGAGCCGGTTTTCAGAGTGCCCATCCTTCTCCTGCAGAGCAGCTGGTGGCCTTGAACTGAATGCCTTCAGGATTGTGGCACAGTTTCTTGCCACTAGGCCACCAGAACTCCCTCCTTGAGATGGAAGAGTTAGAGAATCCATGAGAGACACTTAAGAAGCCCATTAAATATCTGTTATTTCATTTATTTACATATGCAAATATACTACTCCCAAATTAATTCAAGTGAATTTATTACTTAATCCTTTCATCACTTATCTCTTCCCGAAAGGCCATTTTATAGAGCCTGATCTGTAAGCAACATCACAAATTGCCAATAGTAAAAACATTGGAGTCTCACTGATAAGTAACAATACATCCCCCATTCCCTCTAAATTTCTTATTAGGTATGTAAGAATGTATTAAGTAGAAGAACTCACTCAAGACTTTGGCACAGCTATCATTAACCTCAGCGAGCCCTAAGTGTCTTTCTCTATACTTCTCTCTTTCTTCGTTCACTGGAATCAGTTCATCTCATGGGGCGGGGGAAAACCAAAGCCAGAATGACTTGTCCTGATGCTAGAAGCACACTGCAGATTCTGCATATTTTCTATACCTTGGGGCATAAGGGTGGATGTTTTTATGATTCTTCAAAGTCAGCTGTTCCCAAATCCTTTTTATCATTACAATTTACGCTTAAAGCCCTGTTTTTGCATGCTGCATACAAGAGAACATCTTGCCTGGAAATGTTCTGACTTGCTTCTTATTATGTGATTGGGTATATTAACATGGAATTATTTTGGCCAGATTTCCAAAGAATTTTAGAACCAGTAGCCAGAAGAACCTGTATTTCAGAAACGCACATATGCTGGCCCACATCTCTGACTTCCATGCATTGTGAAGATCACATACATTTGCGTTGGTCCTTTTATATACCATTATGGAAGCCTACCTTTCATTCTCACTTTGGCGTAAAATTCAAACTCATTGCCAGGTGGAAAGGACTCACAGCTGACCCTCCAGAGGATTTTCTGAGGCCGCAAATTGTGGGAGGAGAGTGTCCATCTTTCTCTCTTAGAGTCACTGGTGGATTCAAACCTGCAGAGAGGCATCACTTGCAGAGTTAGCATCACGATTCCCAACGGACTAGGCCACTAGACCTCCTACAGTTAAGTGTATGTTGATGATACATGCTGTCGAATTGGAACCAACTCACAGCTGATCCTCCTCCAGGCTTTCAGTGGCTGTAAATTACACAGGAGGAGGCTGGCCATCTTTCTCTCCCAGAACAGCCAGCGGATTGAAACCAAGTGTCTTTGGATCGGCAGAGTAACTTCTTAACCTTGGGCCACCAGAGCTCCCTGTAGCTTCCTGGTACCTTCAGATAAAACCTTGCAAACATGCCTTATCTTTAGGGGATAGAAATCTTTAGAGCAGTGGAATTTGAGGTTTCTGATATGCTTCAGATGAAACTTTTCAGGCAGGGAAAAAATATTGCCATCTTGAGTCCAAAGAGAAAGACTCCTTCCTCTACCATACAGAGAACAATTTGAACAATAGAATTCTATTATTATTACTATTAATGTAAACATAAGCCAGGCTTTTTCTGTATCTCTGTGTTTAAATTTCTTCACTACCTAAGGCTACTGTTTGCCACTTTATTATTCACCAGGGAGTGGCAAAATGTTTCTTCCGTTCTTGTCTGTGATTATTGTTGGAGTAATGATGTAGACCTAAAAGGTTTATGAGGGTTTTTTTTGGTTTTTATTATTGTCAGTGGGAAGAGAGAACAATGAACAGTCAGTGAATAGTCAGCCCGTCCCTCTCCCTTTCTTTTTACACACACACACACACACACACACACACACACACACACACACACTATCTTTTCAGCCACATTTTATTTCAGATGGTTTTTTAAAAATCTTTTTTATTTAACATTATCTTAAACCTCTTCACAGTAATTCTAGGACAACCTAAGTTTCATTGACTATTTTTTTTTTTTAACCAGTTACTAAAGAATGTTAGGGTTGAACTGTGGCCCAGACAGGTTTTTGGGTTTTTTTAAAATTATTATTATTATTTTTGTGTGTGTGTGTGTCTGTGTACCGTCAGATCAGATCTGACTGGTACAGGAGGAGATTGCCCCTCCTTTCCCGGCAGAGCATCTGGTGGATTCGAACCATGCGCCTCTGGGATTGCAGTGCAGCTTCTTGCCACTAGGCCACCAGAGCTCTCCTGACTATTCTGTATTCTTTAAAAATTGGGTTATATGTAGATGTAACTAATTATTAAACATGCTTTAAAAATGAGGGCATGAAAACACACTTAAAATGTAATTATACTTACGTGAGAAATTATATAAAATACAAATGATTATGTTGATCTTAGAATGCCATTACAACAAGCTAAACAAGCTAAATTTAGTATTGTTATTGTAACCAAGAAAGGCAGAAAGGTAAGTTCTCTTACCTTTTTTTTTCAACAGTTTTTGTAGCGTTTGTATATAAATTGAAAATCACCATCAAAATTGTTCTCTGGGTTTCTATTGCCATAATTTAACTGGAATGTTATGGAAAGTATCTGGAGTAAAAGAGTGTTGTAAAGCTCTATCATTTCATAAACTTCCCTTTCAGAGGAAAAGATCAATGCTTCTAATTATTTTCTGTATTACCTGAAAGTCTCATATGGCATTGCATTTTGTGTTGTTTCATTTGTAGCGATTATTGAAGACTCTTAGTATCTTATTACCAAAGTTGGCTTTTGAGAGTAGTATTTAATATTCTTTAGCCAAGATAAGTAGATGTTACTTTTGACTCCAAAATTAAAGAGCCCTGATTTAGCTAGTAGCCTGGGCTCCTACCTCCCTGAGTAGAGTGGTTACTTATAATAGGAGGATGCAGGTCAATAGT